ATCGAGAAAAGACTTCACGCGGGATATGAAACTGAGATCATTACCGGCGAGAAGGACATCGTCAACATAAATGAGAGCAACAACAAAGGTGCTCCCCCGCTGGTAGATAAACAAAGAGTGGTCTGCAGGAGAAGCACGAAACTGAAGTTCACAAAGAGCAGTGGTGAACTTCTGATACCAGTTCCGGGATGCCTGTTTAAGACCATAGAGAGACTTATTTAGTCGACAGACACGAGTCTCACCAGGAGCAGCGAAACCTTCGGGAATGCGCATGTAAACCTCCTCGTCCAGGTCCCCATGGAGAAAGGCATTGTTCACATCTAACTGGTGAACATACCATCCTTTGCTGACTGCAACAGCAAGGAGACTTCGAACAGTCACCAACTTGGCAACCGGGGCAAACGTGTCGTGGAAATCGACACCTTCAATTTGGGTGTAGCCTTTGGCGACAAGGCGAGCTTTATAACGCTCAATAGAACCATCAGGGTGAAACTTTATTTTGTACACCCATTTGCAGTCAATGCAACGTTTTCCTGGTGGTAGATCAACGAGACTCCAAGTGCCATTTATCTCAAGAGCACTGATCTCAGTGCGCATGGCAAGACGCCAACGTTCATCAACCACGGCCTGTCGGAAAGTGCGAGGCTCCACCTGGGTTGTTATGGCTGCAACAAAAGCTCCATAAAAAGGAGTAACCCGATTATAAGCAACATAAGATGCCATGGGGTAGCGGACAGAATTCACCTTGCTACCAGTGTAGTAGTCCGCCAGACGTCGGGGCGGGCCACGGACACGATCGCCACGCTGGAGCTCGGGAGGCCCAGTGGGCTGTGATGGAGCCGAAGGTCCAGTAGGCGAGGGGCTCGTGGAAGGAGAGGGCACAGGCCCGTTAGTCGGCCCAGGTGAAGAGGGGCCCGGCGGAGCGACGGGGCTTTGCTGATCATCTTGGGCCGGGCGGGGCTGCGCGTCAGGGGCCTGCGTAGGCTGGGGCGAAGGAGTCCGCTCCTCATCAACTGATGGGCCTTGGCCCGAGTCGGCTCCAAGCCCATTAGTGGGGGAAAGAAGGAGCACGTCTTCTTCATGCGCAGGGGGCTGATGAAAAACCTGCGAGGGAAGCCAGTGAAAGTCTTTAGATGTCACTGGGTTAAAAGGAAACATGGATTCGCAAAAAATCACATCCCGACTAGTGATCATTTTGCGAGTCGACAAGTCGTAGGCGCGATAGCCCTTCTGGCTAGCAGCATAACCGAGGAACACACAAGCGCGACCACGATCGGAGAACTTCCCAAGAGCAGCATGGGTGTCTTTGCAATAAACAAGGCAGCCAAAAACACGAAGATGAGTGTAAGAAGCAGGTTTGCCGAAAAGAATCTCGAAAGGGGTCTTATTCCTGGTTGCCGTAGTGGGCAAGCGATTAATCAAGTAGGCAGCAGTCAGGATACACTCGCCCCAGAAACGAATAGGTAGAGACGCCTGGAAACGAAGTGCACGGGCTGTTTCAAGGAGATGACGATGCTTCCTTTCTACAACTCCGTTCTGCTGCGGTGTATCAGTACATGAGGTCTGTAAAAGAATACCCTGACGAGGATAAAAATCACGAAGAGTTCCAGTGGAAAATTCGGGGCCATTGTCTGCCTGTATACGCTTGACCCTGCGACCAAACTGTGTGAGCACCATGTGATAAAACATCTCAATATAACGACCAACTTCAGATTTAAACCGAAGAAGATACACCCAGACACCGCGACTATAGTCGTCAACGATAGTCAAAAAATAGTGAGCACCACTAAGAGAGGCAGTCTGATAACCACCCCAAATATCCATGTGAAGTAGTTCAAAACAATCGGTAGTGCGAATCGCACTTATTGGGAATGAGTTCCGAGTTTGTTTGGCACGGAAACAAGAATGAAAATTATCACTGATTGTCTTTTGCAAAGAAATAAGAGGACTAAGCTGAGATAACTTCAGGAACGATGGGTGACCAAGCCGGGCATGCCACAGATCACTCGAAACTCCTGCTGCCTGAGTCACGGCATGGGCTTGAACCTGCCTGCAGCCAAATAAACGCAGATAGTAGAGACCCTCACGGAGTTCCCCCTTCCCAATCACGCTCTTCGAGTGTAAGTCCTGAATTATGCAGAAATCACTCAGAAAAATTAAAGCCACACGATGATCCTGACAAAGACGGCTGACAGACAACAGATTACAACGAAATTCGGGGACATGAAGTACGCGCCCCAAAGTAAAACCAGCAGCAAGATCAACAGAACCAATACGTGTAACCGGGATACTTGCCCCATTGGGAATGCGAACCGGAGGACTATGTCGCTCAGAATCATACGACGTAAACAGAGATGAATTCATGGCTATATGTTCGTTACACCCAGAGTCAATAAGCCACTCAGGTTCAGAAGAGAACGAATACGTACCAGCCATGTTGCTAACCGGGGCAGCAGAGCCCATGAGATTACCTCCGAAAAATTGCTTTAGCTGCTCTAATTGCTGAACAGTAAAGCCGGCCACGGGACTAGATTCAGCCTCGGTTTGGGCTGCACGGGGCTCGCGACTCCTGCCACCATCACGATCCCGATCACGGCGACGAGGCGGCTGATCAGTTCCTTTGTCACGGGAGGGCCATCCAATCAGCTCAAAGCAAGACTCCTTTAGATGGCCATTTTTGCGGCAGTGGGTGCAGTGAAGTTTGCCGCGTTCACCCGAGGATCGATCCCGGCCACCACAGCGTGTGTTGTTGCTGTCTTTGTCGGCTTCTCCTTGTGCCGCAAAGGCCGCGGCTTCCGGAGCAGGGCGCCGATTCTGTGTGAGAGACCGTTGCTGCTCGTCGTTGTAGACGATCCGAAAAGCTTCAGGGAGCGTCGGGGTAGGGGTCATAGAGAGGATCTGGCTTCGTACCGTGGCGAATGTCTCGTCGAGACCCAGAAGAAAATCCAGCAAGCGAAGACTTTCGTTCTGGTCACGGCTGCGTCGGCCACAAGAACACAGCGGCGGGGGTAGGATGGACTGAGTTTCTTCCCAGACCCGGCGAAGCTGCGTGTAAAAGTTGGACACTGTCTGCTTTTCTTGCTGCAAGAGGCTCACATGACGACGAAGTTCATAGGCCCTAGTAAGATTACCTTTACTGAAGCGGTCACGGAGGTCGTCCCATATCTCCTGAGCTGTCTTCGCATGCATCACACTGCTGCGAATTTCGGAGTCCATGGCTGTGCGAAGCCACCCCTTTACAAGGGCATCACAGCGCACCCATTGGTTGATCTCAGGAGCGCTGGCTGTTGGTCGAGGCATGCTGCCATCGACGAAACCGATCTTGTGCTTCGTAACAAGGGCATCGGTCATCTCCAACACCCATTCACCATAGTTGGAAGGCGTCAAGAGACTGCTGACGTGCAAATGTCCAGTGTTGTCCGATTGATGGATGAACAAAGGACTTAGAGGATCGGGGCTGTAGCCACTCGAAGTGCCGGACTTGGACGGCGGCGTGGACTCGAGGTAGGAGGAATCATCATCTCCAGCCATGGTCGAACTTCAAAGATCGAGCTTCACAGCTCTGATACCATGTAAAGTTTGTTAAGTGCGGAAACGTAAAAGACAAGTGTTTACGTGGTATCCCCGATATACGGGACTAGTCCACGGGAGAGAGGAGTCTCTCCAGCTGTAGTTCTTATTATTTCGTTAATTGTTCATGGCCAATGGCCTTACAATATATACCCTGTTACAATCATCTAGGGTTTGCTCCTCACAAGGAGAAGAACGGAGATGCGGCTGAACAGTAGAATGGGCCGTGTAGTGGCTGTGATGGACCAGGCTCGTCTAATAGATAATTATAGGAAATTAATTAATCAACTTTTTTTCTCTGAAGAACAATAATAAGAACCAACTTAAAACCCTTTTCGTGGCCAGCTGTTTGCTTTCGGACCCTCTTGGAGATAAGTCCACCAAATGTAAGTAATCATTATGTGCCCGAATCACTCCATTGCGTTTTATCAAAAGAAGGCCAGCTTAATGTGACGAGCAATTGAAAATGTGCACATAGTGTTCAAAAAAAGATTCTAAGACACCATTAAAACGTAAAGAGAGGATGTCTGACTTGGAGATTTTCAATATATTTGTATGACTCGGATTTTTCACAAATTAAACATTCAAACCAATTTTTTCGATCTATAACATCGCGACCTCGATTATGGATCAAAGTTATGAAACTGGCCAAACTCGAGACGTGTCACGTCACTGCCAAATCAGCACTTAGGTTACCCAATTCGCCTACTTTCCCTTCACCCTCCCGTTTTTATTATAGATTATTGTAGATGATTGTCAAAATCATTCAACCTCCAAACAGTGATGACAATTTCTGACCTAACCTGCTTGATGAGTACGCGTTTCGGCCACCTAGGACATTAAGCTATTTTCCATTATTATTATATTATTATTATTATTATTATTATTATTATTATTATTATTATTGTTATTGTTAATTTAAGATATTCTTTTGGTTATTTAGGATTATTATTTCTTGTTAAGGAAGTAATCGGTTAGGAGTTGGTCTAGGATTAGTTTACCTTGTTTGGGAGGGAAAGGGTTTGTAGGATTATTCCTATAAATATGTACTTTGTCTCTACGTTTTAATCAGTCAAAAGAAGAATAAATCAGTATTTCAGTTTATTTTAGTTTTAGTTTGTACGATTACGCGATGGACGAACCGATCGTCCACCAATTGGTATCAGAGCCTGGTTCGACGGAACCGAGCTCTTACCAGCTCCCAGGGCAGACATCAACCACCAACGTCGGGAAGAGGTCCGCGCGCAACCACGATCCGCAAAGACAAGGTGGATGGATCGCCTACCGAGGCGCCACCAACGAAGAAGCTAACTGTAGCTTCGCCATTCGAGATCCACCAACCGCCTGACGCCGAGATCTCGGTCACGGGTCTTACGGGAGTTTACAATGCTGCCATCATTCGCCTTGACGCCACCATCCATAAAAAACCTATGGCTACCCTAGCCGGTAGATCTTCGACCCACAATTTCATCAATACCGACATTGCTAAGGGTTTAGGCTTGCAAGCTAAACCAATCTCTCCGTTCAAGGTCAAGGTACGGATTGGGAAAATCTTGGTATGTGACCGATTTTACAAGGTCGTCCCGATTGACATACAAGGGGTACAGTTTGATGTAGACTTGTATGAATTGCCAGATTGCGGAACTGAAGTCGTCCTCGGCATGCAGTGGTTCCGGCAACTAAGATATGCATGGATATATTGGGACAAGTCGTTCGTGAGTTTCATGAATGAAGAGGTCGAGGTCAAGTTGCAAGGCTCTCCCATGAAGAGGGTTGAGGACTTTGGAAGGGCCCACCGAGAACAGGACTGGTGGAATCACCAAGGAAACTCGGTGAAGACCACATCACCGGCGACCATGGCCGCCAAGGAAGACTTCAATCGTGAAGCCGTTGCTGACGAGAAGCTAGCTCCAGTGCCTCCACCAGCGACAATTGCGGAAGATGATGTCGCCTTCTCATGCCACAAGCCAGAGGTACCGGCCGCCCTATCATTTGCTATTCATGGCTTGGTTGATGCCGTGTCCCACATCAAAGACGTTGCCGCCATCCGTCTTGAAGGGGGGAGGCGTTTCCTTCGAGGGAAGAACGAGAAAACTGAAGTTGGAGGAGTTAAAGGATTCGTTCACGTCCCTGAGCCCAATTGGAAACGTCGTAAAAGAACAGTCCCTATCTTCGTTGTCGACCACAAGTGGGAAAGCTTCTTCGTCATCGATCCGGGCTGAGACATTGCTTGAACTTCGGGGACGAAGTTCTTCGAAGGGGGGAGGTTTGGTGAGTACACGTTTCGGCCACCTAGGACATTAAGCTATTTTCCATTATTATTATTATTGTTATTGTTATTGTTAATTTAGGATATTTTTTTGGTTATTTAGGATTATTATTTCTTGTTAAGGAAGTAATCGGTTAGGAGTTGGTCTAGGATTAGTTTACCTTGTTTGGGAGGGAAAGGGGTTGTAGGATTATTCCTATAAATATGTACTTTGTCTCTACGTTTTAATCAGTCAAAAGAAGAATAAATCAGTATTTCAGTTTATTTTAGTTTTAGTTCGTACGATTACGCGATGGACGAACCGATCGTCCATCACTGCTCGATCCGACCTTTTTAGAATGGGTATTACCAGACCCGTAGTAGAATGAGACGCGGTATGGATACTACATCTTACATTCCCCCATCTCGTCCTGTTCTTGAATCGTTCTATCATGATTTTCATCCATATCTACTTATATTTCTCCTTTTTTATTTTTCTAAAACCATATTTTTATCCAAGTAAATTTTAAGACTCCAATTTCAAATATTTACCTAAAAACACAATTTGAGATATTCACATTACACATAAATACGAGATTTTTCCAGAAATAGCACCTTTTAAAAAAAATTACAAAAATAGCACCCAGCCGAAAAAATTTACACTAATAGCACCCTTTTTTTATGGACCGCACCTCTAAGGTGCGGTTTATAATCCTGGACCAAAACCGCATCTTGGAGATGCGGTTTCAGGGCTGACCTACAGAAACCGCGTTGCCGAGGTGCGGTTTTGCCACACAAACCGCACCTTGGAGGTGCGGTTTTGGTCAATTATTTTCCGACATGCCATGCAGAATAACATACGTGGGTCTGCAAGGCAGACGAAAACCGCACCTCTAAGGTGCGGTTTTCATCTGTGATTTTGCCCATAAAAGACTTCCCGGAAAACCTCTTCTCTTCACACCTCTCCTTCTTTCTCCCTTTTCAATTTTCTGTTGTATCTCTATATTTCTTTAGTGGTTTTGCGATTAACGTTAACTCGTAAGTTTATTTTGTATTACTTTTTATTGTTATTTTTGATTTGTTATTTTTGTGATATTAACTGAACTACGTTTTTTTTTTGCAGATGGCATTCCAAAAGTTCACGCTTGGCTTACGGTGGAATGGTTACACGGAAGAGACCGGAAAGGGGGTCACCTACGTCGGTGGCAATTTTCAGAAGATAAAGGTCGCTACCAGACCGCTGCTTGAAGACCTCCATCAAATGTGCACTAACGTTACTTGCATGGATGGCACGAGAAGAGTTGATCGTATGGTGTACCGATATCCAAATAGAGAAAGTGGGTCATTGTGGCATGAGGAATATCTCATAACCACTCAGGATGAGGTAGATGCCATGCTCGAATTCTTGAGGTCCAACAATCTTTCCAGAGCCGAGATGTTCGTTTACACCGAGCCGGTCGTACGCGTTGGAGGTCATTCTCGACACGGTCAAACATCTAGTATCCATGGTGGAGGTGAATTATATGGCGATCATCCCTACCAAAGTTACCATGATCCTCATTCCTATTTTCAGTACCAAGAGCAAGGTGAAGGTCATCATCAATCTTTCTCGTCATATGAAGAAGAAGTTCAACCGGACCTCCCCAACCAACCTCAGTACAACTTCCAATCAGGCAGCGGTAGTTTTCACAACTACCATTATGGAGCTGATGAAGGTGCCTTTCATGAGCTGGATCAGATGGAAGATGCCCTGCCAGCACCAGTCAGTGACCCCTCCGATGAAGAAGGAGAGAACAACGTCAGTGCAGACAGCTCCGACCCTCTTGAAGGTGTTGACGATTCAGGACCAGAGTCAGACTCAGCTAATGATGATGAGGTGGCTCGTGACTGTGTACCAGTCCCCTACTACAATCACATTCCAGATGACAATTGGATGGTCGACAGCGACATTTTAGACTGAAGCAATGACTCGGCATTTTGAATGACACACAACTCATTCCAACACTAAAAGGCTCATAGTCAGATGTCGTAATCATCACGAGGGGTGCAATGTTAGGATTCGGGCCATCAACAGCAAGAGACACGGCCACTAGGTCATATCCCGTGCGGTGAACACACACACACATGTGTGTCATCTATAACTTCCCAAGGCCAACGACAGTTGAAATCCAGGGTGGTTGCTGCGGCTATCAAGCATCTAATTGAGCAAGATCCGGACCTGAAGGTGAAAGTCATAATCGCTGACATTGCAAGTCGTTATGGTTATATGATTAACTATAAGAAGGCGTGGCATGGAAAGCAGAAAGCTCTGGCCACCGTCTTTGGTGATTGGGAAGAATCATATGCATTCCTTCCCAAGTTAATTTTGTCATTGGAGACGTCTAACCTTGGCGCTGTTTTCTCCCCTCGATACCAAGATGAAGAGATACAACAAACGCCATTTCAGACGACTTTTTTGGGCATTCAAGCCATCTATTGATGGTTTTGGCTTATGTGTCCATGTGATCCAAGTGGATGGTACATTCCTTACTGGCAAGTACAAGGGCACTCTCCTGATTGCCAGTGGGGCGGATGCAAACAGACAAGTCTTTCCTTTAGCCTTCGCCATTGTTGAGGGAGAGAATGCTGATAGCTATAAATGGTTTTTCCGGCAAATTCAGCTCCACGTCACTAGGAGGACGAACCTGACAATAATCTCTGATCGGCATGCCGACATTAGAGCTGCCATCTTAGGTTTAGATACAGCCTGGAAGTGGTCCCAAAGGTGGTGCATACGACACTTCAAGAGCAACTGGAACCATCATTTCAAGCGGAAGAAGCTTGCTGATAATTTGTGGTGGATTGGTAAGTTCTCTATTAGCCGTTTAATTTTGTCAGCTAACAATATCTTGTAATCAGGAGAGTGGTGCACTTGTTAGACTCTTTCTAAAGAGATGCATGCCTAAGGAAATGGGGTTTTAAGCGATTATCATGGTGTTTCCATTTCCTGGGAAAATCGAGTTTTAAGCGATCTTCGGATCCCCCCTTTTTCTGTCAAACAGGCTGTGTTTCTAAAGAGATGTATACCTCTCCTAAGAGTCTAACGAGAGTACCTCCGGGTTGTTCAAATTGTACTAAACTGCCGAAAATTGACTAATGTACTACTTTTCTGTGTCTTCCTCAGCGGTTGCCTACCAAGAGAAATTTTTTTTGGAGAAGATGCAGAAGATGTGCGAGTTATGCCCTGAAGGGGCACAGTGGCTGGATGGACACGACCTATCCATGTGGACATTTCATAAAGATGGAGGGACAAGATGGGGTATTGCCACAACGAACTCAGGTGAGAGTATCAACTCTGTCTACAAGGCCGTTCGTGCACTGCCAATCTCTGCCATTGTGGAGATGAATTTTTGGAAAACGAATGCATGGTTCGTCAACCGACTACACTGAGCAAGGACAAATGAGGCACAGGGAAAGGTCCATGCCTATAAATTCATGGAAGTAATGGAGAATGACAATCGCAAGAGCATTCGACATAGTGTAACCGTTATGAATCGGGCAAATGGCGAGTATAGCGTGACGACCGGAGATCGGGAGGATGGTAGACGGGGCCACCGCCATGAAGTTTTGGTCAATTTCAGGACAAAAGTTGGTGAGTGCTCATGCCAGAAGTATCAGGGGAGAGGGTGGCCTTGTTCTCATGCAATGGCTGTAATTAAAAACAGGAGCAAAGACCCCCGTCACTTCGTTAGTCCATTCTTCAATATCGATTCACTCAAAAACACCTATGGACGGAGTTTCCCTGCATTGCCTGATGAAGCTTATTGGCCGTTGTACGAAGGAAATTTGATCATCACGCCGTTCGGACAGAGGCGTGAACCGGGTCGCCCGAGGAAAAAGAGAATTCAGAACGAAATGGATCAAAGTGGAAGACCACCACGAGGCCCAAGACGATGTTCAATATGCAAAGTTCCAGGACATGATAAACGAAGGTGTCCAGGACCGATTGGTCCGCAAAATCCGGGTCCTGATGTGGCGGACTCAGCTAATACGACATAGTTTGTGATTATCATTCTTCAAGCTAGTTGAGATGACTTCTTTGGCAAGTAATTGTGAATTTTTTATTGAACGAATTTGGATAATATCAAGATAAGAGGAATAGTTCCAAGTACATAGAAATATAAACAAATTGAAACAACTTCAATTAAATAAACTAAGATAAGAGGAATAGTTCCAAGTACATAGAAATAAGGGTTAATACCTTATTTTGGCCCGAACTATGACCATATAATCAACTTTGGCCCGTGGTTTCAGAAATTAATATCCTGGCCTCAACTATGCAGCATATAGACTCAATTGGCCCGCCACATAGTTTGACCGTCAATTTGAACGGTCAACTCTGTTGACCGTTAGTCAACATGCAATGGCATTGCCTAGTCAGCATAAAAATCATTAAAAAAATTCAAATTCAAATTATTTTCCTAATTTCTATTATTTATCATTTTCCAATTAACCAAAAAAATGATATTCTAAAAATATAAATAATTTTTTTGGGATATTTGAAAATGATAAATTTTATAAATTAACCAAAATTATCAAATTAAATTTTATAAATTTAAAAATTATGATATAAATTATATTTTTTTGGGATGTTTTAAAAATATAAAATAATTTGATACTTTTGGTTAATTTATAAAATTTATCGTTTTCAAATTATCTAAAAAATAAATTTATTTTATGTTTTTTATAATTTATTTTTGGTTAATTTGATAATAAATAATTTTTTTAATGATTTTTAGGCTGACTAGGCAATGACATGGCGTGTTGACTAACGGTCAACTCCGGTCAAACTATGTGTCGGGCCAATTGAGTCTATATACTGCATAGTTGAGGTCAGGATGTTAATTTTTGAAACCACGAGCCAAAGTTGATTATATGGTCATAGTTCGGGCCAAAATAAGGTATTAACCCTAGAAATAAAAACAAATTGAAACAACTTCAATTAAATAAACTAAGATAAGAGGAATAGTTCCAAGTACATATAATGAAAATTCAACCCCAAATACATCTCAAGAAAGTCCACGAGCTTCACCGGAACTGACGGTTTTCTTGCTCCTTGTACGACGGCTGACGGGAGTAACAACAGGTGGTTGCGGTGGCAAGTTTCGAATGGCCGAGGTAGTGTGGCGCTCGTTGGTGCTGTGTCAGCGGGGAGGCGGCTCTTCCGGGGTCGAGCGGGGGACATCCGCGCTCATACGGCAAGGAGTAGGAGGCCACGGCTGATGAGGGCGAGTCAATGGGTTGAATTCGTGGGGCGCCGTCGTGGAAGAACCATCATGCCAAGTACCCGATGATGTTTGGCGGGGAGATGGGGAGTAGACCGGGCGGAAATCTTAGTATGTTTGGCGGGGAGATGGGGGGTAGACCGGGCAGGAATCGTAGTATGTTTGGCGGGGATCATTGTATGAGATCGGGGTGGGATCATAAAGGGATTGATGGAGACTCGGAGGGGATTGATGGTAGGTCGAGCGGGGATCGTAGTATGAGCTTGGGTGGGGATCGTTGTGGTAGGAGGGGCGGTGCTCTTGGGATGAACTCGATTAGGGAGCTTGGGAGGAACTCGGGCCGACACCTTGGGGGGAACTCGGGCGGGGAGCTTGGGTGGAACTCGGGCCGGCACCATGTGTCACAACCAATGGGGGCGGCACTTTCCACGCCTAATATGGCGTTACGTCGGGCACGTTGGGCCTTTCTCGAACTCTCTTGCTCTTCTTTCTCTCGTATGGTGGTGGGGGATCGGGGACATCAACTTGTACCGGAGGTGGCGGGGGTGCGGGCATGGGCGGATATCTACGATGATCCCGACCCTGAGCTCTGATACAGTCAAGCAGACTGTTTGCCATCCTCCTAATGAAGCTCACATCTTCATTGCGCAACTCAACTCTCTCGGTGGTCATATCTTTGATCCGCTCACCCATATTACTCATTTATAACACTTTAGCCACCCGAATCAAAAACCATTCAACTTAGCCACTGATATTACACGTTTATGTCATATTTAGTCACTCGCCGTCTAGTTCCGTTAAGTCTGTCCTACGTGGCCGTCAACTCCAATGTTTGACCGTTAAAAAACTTATGTGTCAATTAAAAATAATAATAATAATAATTTTTTATTTCCACATCATACTAAATTAAAAATATTTTCTTCATAAAAAAACTAATTAATATAAATATTACTAAAACCAGCCCACTGGCTCGCCCTCACCTCTTCGTCGTTGCACATCGTCGCCATCCCCCTCTCCGCTATTGCACTTCGTCGCCCTCCCCTCCTGCTGCCTCCATGCCACTTGAAACCCACGAGCCCAAGCATCCCACGCAGAACCCACCAATCCTCTTTCCATTGCAAAATCTCCAGCACCGCTGCTTCAAGCACCCCGCCGCAAAACCACAATCCTCCCAATCGTCGCGATGAATTAAACCCAACGACGACGAACAGAAGGTGCAATCGATGGGGTCCCTCCAATTCACAGTTGCATTGATGAGGAGGAGCTTTCTCTGGCTCCACAAAGAGCAGCTGTGGCTGAGCGAGGAGCAGCAGTGGATCCGGGAAGAGCATAGGTGGTTGCGCGAGCGGGAGTCCCTGTTGAGCGAAATTCAGCCGCTAAGCTCCAAATCCAGGTCTTACAGAAGAGGATTTCGGTTGGCGGGGTCGATGTGGTGCCTCCGAATGTCGATACCCTCACTCCTTTTCTTAATCGAATCGTGAAAAACTCTCAGATCTAGAAACTAACTGTTTGTGTTTTGGTGATTTTTTTGGTTCTTCGAGTTCAGGAACTTGTCGGGAACGCTGCGGGAGACAATAAGGCAACAGAGAGTGGCAGAGGAAGGGTCGGTGGAGACAAAGATGGGGTAATTGGCGAAGGAGGTTTCAGATTGAATCAAACATGGCGACGAAGCAGTTTCGGTTTGCGGTGGCGATGGCCGATGGGCAGAGGAAGGGTCGATGGAGACGGAGATGGGGGAATTGGCGAAGGAGGTTTCAGATGGAATCAATTGTGGCGCGGAGTTTCGGGTTGCGGTGGCGATGGGCGGAGGAAGGTTTGCTGTGGTGATGGGCAAAATGAAGGTTTCGGATGGATCAATCGTGGCGGAGGAATCGACGAGCTAGGGTGTTATAAATGAGTAATATGGGTGACCAAATTTGCAATTCACCGCCTATCTATTATATTTCTTCGCATCTTGACTTTTCAGCACATTTGCCAATTGCTCGCCGCCACCCATCTTATATCCACCAATAACCCTCTCTCTCTCTCTCTCTCTCTCTCTCTCTCTCTACAGTCTCCACCCAATGGGCTCCCGCTCCTCGCTTCAGTCTTCCCCAAGCGTGGACGCCGACGTCGGCGCAGACACTGACGCCGGAGAGCAGCAACCACCACCACCACCATGGCGAGAAATAGTGGGCAGCAACGACTGGGACAACCTCCTCGACCCTCTCAACCTCAACCTCCGGCAGCTCATCCTCCGCTGCGGCGACTTCTGCCAGGCCACCTACGACGCCTTCAACAACGACGCCAACTCCAAGTTCGCCGGCTCCAGCCGCTACGGCCGGAAGAGCTTCTTCCAAAAAGTCCTCCTCCAAGACGCCCAAAACTACCAAGGTACAACTTTTTGCAACTCCATCGATTCAAAAAAAATAAAACCTTTTTAATCAAACCATTGAAAAGGATTAGATCGAACAGTTCGACATAATTGAATGGCGGATGTTGAAATAACGGTAGTTCGGCAGGAAATTGAAGCGATATGTTCAAAAATTTCCCTATTCTTTTGTCGTCACTCACCAGCTACCATCATGTGATTGTCGCCGTCGTCGTCACTGGTATGAATTTCATTAGCCTCTGTTTTTTCACTGAACTTCAAATTCTAATCCGTTCTGTCAATTTCAATGAAGTGTCCTGTTTCCTCTACGCCACGGCCAGAGTGAGCGTCCCTGAGGCGTTCCTCCTCCACTCCCTTGCCCGTGACGGCTCTTGGGACCGCGAATCCAACTGGATCGGCTACACCGCCGTCACCACCGACGAGTACTCTGTCTCCATCGGCCGCCGGGAAATCTACGTGGCGTTCCGCGGCACCAGCAGGAACTACGAGTGGGTCAACATCCTCGGCGCCCAGCTCGAACCCGCCACCGAATTGCTAGCCCCCGTCACCGTCACCGCCGCAACAACGCCGGAAAACGACGCGGCGTCGGCCACTTCCTCGAGCAGCGACGAGGACGAGGGGAGCAGCCCGAAAGTGATGCTGGGTTGGCTGACGATGTACACCTCCGACGACCCGAATTCCCAATTCACGAAACAGAGCGCCAGATCGCAGCTCCTGGCCACCATGAAACGCCTCCGGGAGAAGTACGCCGGCGAGGAGCTGAGCGTGATTTTGACCGGGCACAGCCTGGGGGCTTGTTTGGCGATCCTGGCCGCATTCGACCTCGTCGAAAACAGAGTCGTGTCGGAAACCACGCCGGTGACGGCGATCGTGTTCGGCAGCCCGCAGGTAGGAAACAGAGCATTCGACGACAGAGTGAAATCCCTCAGCAACCTGAAAATCCTCCATGTACGGAACAAAATCGACCTCCTGACGCATTACCCAGGGCCGCTTCTCGGATATGTGTCGACATCGACGACCGATCTGGTGATCGACACCAGAGTACGTATAATAATTCAATCGCGTTTAAAAACTTAAAAGCTTACGTTTTTACGCTTCTAGATATAATCACGATTTTGACAGCATTGCGTAGAAACTGATCGGAAACTCTTGTCCTCTGTATCTTGCTGCTGAAATTTTAATCACTCTGCTCGATCGTATTTTGGACAGAAATCGCCGAGCTTGAAGGAGTCGATGAATACAGGGGACTGGCACAATCTGCAGGGGATGCTGCACGTGGTGGCGGGTTGGAACGGGGAAGAAGGGGAGTTCGAGCTGAAGGTGAAGAGGAGCTTGGCTCTGGTGAATAAATCGAGCGAGTTTCTGAAAGAAGAGTACTTGATTCCTGGGTCGTGGTGGGTGGAGAAGAACAAAGGGATGGTGTTGGATGAGAATGGCGAGTGGGGGTTGGCGCCTCCTGATGATGAAGATCTTCCTGTTCCTCCTGATGAAGATGAGGATTTGTGATTGGTGTGAGAATGGGTTTTTTTGAGTCTTGGTGTTTGTGGGAACAAAAGAGTGAGAGTTTCTGTGGTTTGAAGTGCTTGTTTGTGTGATTGTGATCATGTTTGCATACGCTATGTTCCTCTAACTTTGTTCTTGATATTGGAGGCTATCAGCATTTGAATAGAGGAAGTCTTTGTTGTCGAAGGTTCTGATACAATATCGAAATCAAATTTACCTCGATAACTACTTGAGATATCGATATGATGTGAAAGTGATGAGTTTGTGCACTTGAATTCTAATAGAACACTCAGAAGTCCGTTCTTCCTAATAGCATCGTATAGTGGCTCCTAATAAAACGTTTAGAAACCAGTTTATCCTAACAGCATCTTCTAATTGGCGAGTCATTTTTCAATATAATGTCAGAAACTATGTCAAAATCATATTATTCCGATAACATTGAATTGGCAATGCCAAAATTATCAAAGCTCTAATACGATGTCGGAAAACGTTTCATTCTAATAATCTCCATTTGTGGGAAGAATATTAGAAATGATCATCTCTAATCCATCAAGCCAAAGCAACAACCTTTCTTTCACATAAACAACACCACCAAATAAGAAGGTCAAGAAGTGGAGAGTGGGAACCAAGAGAATCACAGCAAGTCAAATTGAAACATATATAGTAATTAATTACACTTAGCACATACAAACACAAAATTCTCTTCAAAAGAACTTAGGGTCATAGCCATTGCTAGTGGTGGCCAAGATGTAGTAAGCCACAATATGGCCGATGGAGCCCCAAGCAAGAACATCCACGATGTTGAACCCGACCGGATCGTTCGATTTCAGGAGGCTAACGTACTCCTTAGCACGAACATCTCCGGCCTCGAAGTGGGTTTGCCCGTTCTGCACCGGCAGCCCCTGTTTGGCCACGTTCTCCCTCTGGAAGTTGAAGAACACGAACCTGCCCAAAAACAGAGACAGCCCCGTGCTCAGGCTGATCACCAGAGACGGGTTCAGCTCTGCGTTCACGGTCATGCTCCGCCGCGAGGTGGTGAGGCTGGGGAAGGAGGTTGTTCCGGCGGTGGAGGAAGGTAAACGGAGAGGGCGGAGGCCCTGGAAGGAGATGGTGGAAGGGGAGAGGCTCTGGTGTGAGGTTTGGATGGTTGGGGTCAGGAACAGAGCTGCTGAACTTGCCGCCATTGTTGTTTGATTGGTTGACTGGTTGGGGAGAGGGTCTCTGTTTGGTTTCAGGGAAAATTGGAGATGGAAGGAGAGTAGTAGATTGGTGATGAGATGATGGATGTTGGGTGGAGATGATGGATCTTAATGTGAGGATGGAAATGGTGGCGGGAAAGATGTTGGGACGGTGAGTTGGCAGTGGTTTATTGGTTGATACTGGATCAGAGATTTTTGGCTTCCAGATATCCAGAAAATCACACCACAAAATCCTAAAACGACATCGGATAATAACGTGAAACAAAACCTTACATTCTAACAATCTCTAACTCAGCCGTTTAGACCCACAACCATCCAGTGTGATATCAAAGTCGCACATCCAGAAAAAGAGCTGTGAAGTTGCAGAGGATTTGGCTGATCTTTAGAACGTAAATGATTCAATCAACAAACAGCTGATAGTACACCAGCGGCAAGAAGATTTGGCTGTCTTCTTCCCCGCAGCTTTAACACAATTGAATACAGAGAAGAAAAAGGAAACTAGGAAACCAGCAGGCTGTTCTTTGAATTTGATTAGTCCTTTCCAAAATCAGCATTGTAGTGAGAACTTGATTCAAGTTTCTTGGCTTCATTCAACTTCCTCACAGCCTGCAACAGTCATAAGCAAAAAGGAAATGTCAATTTTGTAACCACCCAGGCTCTGAACCAAAATTCAAAATCTGTGGAATACCAGAAGTTCCTACCTTCATGAAATCTTCATGGATGACATAATCACGTTCTGCACGGATTGCAGACATCCCAGCTTCAGTACATACGTTACGAAGATCAGCACCATTGAAACCCTGAGAACGAAAGAAACAATCTCAAGTTAGATTGCATGCATGAAACACCCCATTTTAGATTGCAGCCGCACAAGATCGGTTTCCTCACCTCAGCTAGTTTCACGACGGCTTCATAGTCGATTTCACCATGCTTGGCAATGCCAGCAGCATGGATTTTCAGAATCTCCATCCTTGACTGCTCATTGGGCAATGGAATCTCAATCTTCCTGTCTAGACGGCCTGGACGAAGAAGAGCAGGGTCCAAAACATCTGGCCTGTTGGTGGCCATGATCATTTTAACCTAAGAGAAAAAATCATTAAAAAAAAAAAGATTAGGCATACTCGGTATCAACAGTAATGAAAACAGTAAGAAGTTTTACAGTGAAACAAGATTTACCTTCCCCAGCTGGTCGAACCCGTCTAACTGATTAAGCAACTCCATAAGGGTTCTTTGAATTTCACGGTCAGCACTTGTTCCCTCACTGAAACGACGTCCACCAATGGCATCGATCTCATCCATAAATATGATGCATGGCTTCAGACAACAAGCAACCAACCGTCAATAATCACAATGCTTGAAATTTACTTATCTGACAATAAGGCAGTAAAAATTACAGAACTCACTTGATGATCACGAGCATAACCAAACATCTCTCGAATCAGCCTTGCACTTTCCCCAATGTACTTGTCAATGATTGCACTAGATACAACCTACATCCCAACGGAACGCACTTCTCGGTTAAAATATATGCACACTAGTTTAATCACAAGAAGATTAACACACTTCCAAAATATAACCTTCAAGAAGTTGGCATCGATGTTGCTAGCAATTGCCCTGGCCAACAATGTCTTTCCAGTTCCAGGAGGTCCATAAAGAAGAACACCCTGTAAAAACAGTAAATTGGCATCTTAACAAACATATGAATCATTCACATTAAAAGATCACATTCTCGAGAATTCACGTCAAATTTACCTTTGGAGGCTTGATACCAACTCTCAAGAAGAGTTCAGGATTCATGAGGGGAAGTTCTATAGATTCCCTGAGCTCTCGTATCTGATCTCCCAACCCTCCAACAGCCGAGTAGCTAACATTACCTGGGTCTTCATGGAGCATGTTATATACGACTGGATCAACCTATGGAGAGAGAACAATTGATCAAAACATGTAACAACATGCAAAAGTGACAGTCATCCATAGTTTCATCCAAATGGTAACGGATTCTTACTTCACGAGGAAGAGCCCTCATGATTGTCAGAGTAGTCATATCGAGAACTACACGAGTCCCCGCAGTAAGTTTTTCTTTGTCAACTTTATTCCTGCAGCCAACCACGTACCTTGGTCCACTGCTTGCTTTGACTATCACTGCATGTAAGAATTCCAGAGATTTTAAGGCATAGAGGAAGATGATGATGAAGGTGGGGTGGGGGGGGGGGGGGGGGGGGGGGGGGGGAGCAGAACATGGTAGTCCACAAAGATCGAAAAGCATTTCCGAACAATGGGAGTCCTCCAGATCCGGGTATCATGTTCATTAGGTAACAGGAAATTTTCATGCTGATGAAACTATGATAAGAAAAATAAATATATGCTGATCATAACCATATTAAATACAGAATGCACGCTGTCAAGATCCCTCTTTTGATCATAACAAGAAGCAAGCGTACAATGTCAAAGACTACAATAACATAACAAGATAGGAGAAACTTTGACTTACTGCGTTCATTGTCAAGTGGCCTAAGCACTTCGCCGATGATCTGGCCAACACTCTGCAGTGACTTCAGGTCATCCTCAGTTTTGGCAAATTCCTTTTTTGAACCTCGCAGACTCTCTCTCACTGAAGATGGTCATTCACATAAAGATATAGACAGATCAGACACCAAGGCGGGGGGCATTACAAAACTTCAGACTAAATATCTCCTTCCGTGCAATAAGAGAGACCAAAGCAATTCTGAACCCTACAGGAACTAGTTCAACATCGAATGAGGCCCAAAGCCACTTACGAGCAGCATATACTAATCCAATATAACCTCTTACAGAACTGAGGAGAAACAACTAAAATGAGATGCATAAATCCAATACAGTAAATCCCTTCTCAAAAATTAAGCTTAAAAACGCAAAGAATCCAGGGAAGACGAAAACCACAGTCTCTTCAACGAGCAATTATGCCAGGCCCTAATAGACCATAACCCAGAAATCCCATCTCATTCTTTCTCCAAAAACAATTCCGAAACCAATTCAAATCAAACTTGACGCCTTATCATCTGTTTGCGCCGCACACAAAAACCCTAATTTCCCCAAACTTCAAACCAGAAGATCTAGCCAAGCATCAATACCTTACCAACAATAATCCCATTGCAGGACAAACCGAACACAAAAACCCTAGAATCCCGCATCCTAAATCACTACAGTAAACGCCACAAACCGAGCCATTCGAGCTCAATCAGAATGCAACAATAGGGGCAGCCCAGCAGAGATAAATTCTAGGGTTTCTGGCAGGAGTTGGATGAATCACCTGCGCGCACTCTAGACTCGAGTTCCTTGTGCTGGAGGAGCTTCTTCCGGTACTCGGCGACCGCCGTGCGGCGCCTTCCCGCTTCATCGACTTCGGTCGACATTACCGCTAGAAACCGGAGAGATTGGGTATTGAAATTAGGGCAGATCGAAGGACTTGGAAGAGAGCCTACTAAAGTTCTTCACACAACTTGGCGAGGCGAGACCACAAGGTTGAAGGAAGGGGGAGCCTTAATCGAATTAAGCAGTTCTCAACTTATCTTTCAAGAAAAGAATGAGAGCAGGTTGGGATAAATAAGTAATTTCCATTTTCCTTGTCCTCCCCGATTTAGGAATAAGTGAATAACTAATCACTAATCACTAATCAGAGTATCAGACGACCAACCCAACTACAAAATAAAAATTTGTTAACTAAGGGCCCGTTTAGTATTGTTGCTTGTTTTTGTTTCCTGTTGTGTTTTAAGAAATTTGGAAAACCAAGAAAAAAAAACGTGTTTAGTTGGGTTTTTATTTTTTGTTGTGAATCAGAGTTGCACAACAAGGCCCAAATATGAGAAACAACAATTTATAGCTTTGGATCTGATTTTTAAACATGTTGCACACGGGATTCCTACTAGTTGGGCGCTTGATTTCATTAAAATAGACCAGTTTTCGAATCCCCACAGAAGCAAAAAATTTTCTTTTTTTTTAACACAGCCCCCCAAAACCCTACTTCGCAGCTGCCCCAACCCATTTTTCTTCTTCTTCATTTTCTTTCTTCTTGTTGACAGAGAATCCCCCTCACATCCGCCTCCTCCCGCCTCCGCCCGACGACCCGCCGCCGACGCCCAAGCTCCCCCGCGCGACCCCGCCGTCTCCCAGCCTCCCCCCGTGCGACCCGCCGCCCAGCCCGCCGCCGCCGCCCTGCCTCCGCCGCCATCATCGTCTATAAGAGGCTTTTGTTCCCTAGGAATTTTTTGGTTCTTTTCTTATTTGTTCTCTTCCACGGCGTATGAGTATACCGGCAACAAGAGGCACAGTAACAAAATCAATGTTTGTCTTTAGCATTTCTTATAATGAATAATGGGTTGTAATGAATAAAAACTGGAAGAACAATAAAGAACATCCATTTGCTCCAAAAGGCAATGTTCTTGAGATTCTACAAAAACACGGCCCTATAAATTACATGTTACTGTGTGTTACCCATCCACACCCTGATCTAGGACGAGAAAGAAGGTAATGTGTACACTAGTCGAAAGGATACTGTAGAGCTCATTCACTTCATCTTATTACTGGCCTTGATATAGTTTAGGAACCTTTTGAGCGCTCGATCACTGTCGATTGCTTCTCTAGCTCTATCCAAGGCTGAATTTACATCTTCTGCGCCGTCACATCCCAGCAAGTGATCGATCATTCCAGCATTTAATACAATACGATCATACGCAGGACCCCTTTGGCCATGATTGAGGACATATCTCTTTTTTTTTTTGTTTTTAGTTCTTACAGTAGTAACTAAACGCGTTTTTGTTTCTTGTTTTCAGCTTTCATGATTTTTCAGATTTATCAACTAAACAGGTTTGTGTTTTCTGTTTTTTTCCTGTTGTGGTTGTGCATCTGTTTACACAATATCACTGCAACCACAACAACAACAAAATGATACTAAACGGGCCCTAAGTAAAATACAGGTATTCTGTTACCTGTATTTCTCTGAGTAAAACCTTCACGCAACGTACGTTGTCGTAATTGATTGATAAACGTAAGAAAGAGATTTAAGAATAGGGAATGTCAAATTTTTTTTTTTTCTGTGGAACGGGCCAACTTACCGTATATATGCGGATTTCAACGGGTCCAGGAGTGTCGATTTTTTTCTTTAAGTCCTTTTATTTCTCCGTGGTGGTAAAATATATATTAAAAGGCAAAAACAATACTCCTTTTTATTGCTAAAAAGAAAAAAAAATTAACAATAAACTAATGCATGGATTCTAATGGGCTAACCGCTAATCATAAAATAAAAGAGTTGAATGGGTCTGACCTACACGGGATTTGCCCATTAAGTAAAACAAATGAACATCATGGGTTTGTCATTCTAAAACAAGCTAAAACAAACTATTATTTTATATCTTAGTGGCTAAAATATAATGTATTTTAAAGTTATTCAATGGTTCAACCTCGATCAACCCAATTAGTCCAACTTTTATCATTTCAAATATATATTATGTAATTATTTGATATCATAATGATTAAATTATAGTGTATATTATAGGGAATCGTTTGGTATTTGTTAGTAAAAAAACTAAACAGAAAGATCTATTTGGTTATTTTTAACATTAAAACGATCCTAAACATTTTCAGTTTCCTTTCGAAATTCTATAGTTTTATTCCCGAATTAGTGATGTGCAAATGGCCAATTGCAGTCATCTCTTTTCTTTCATTATTTTTTATCTTCAAATAGAAATTTTAAAAGTAAAGAATAATTAGAATTTGGCATGGGTCGGTCAAACAGGCTGAATTTCAAGTTTTGACCCATTTTGATCAAGTCTAATTTATAATCACATGGTTCCCTAATACCCGATAAAAATCTCAATCCAAACCAGTTTGGCAGGTGAGTCCGTGTTTACCACCATTTTCTAGGGATACAGAAACGGTGGTTCCTATCCCAAACCGTGTTGTTCATTCTTGATTTTTTTAGATTTTATCATGGCTTGGCAAAAAACCAGAAAACACAATGATGACAAGATGAAAGTTTTATAAAGCAAATTAATCGGCCAACGGGCCGAGTAAAAGCTAGCAACGATTGTGAGATGCTCATTTCCCGAAAACCAGCGGGATAGGCGATTTTTTATTTGATTTTCTGGAATTCGGTTTCTATAAAACTTACTCCACCTCATCATATTACCAGAAACAATATTGTTTCACAAGGTAACATGTACTTGATTTTGGTTCATAAGGCTGATTTTGATTCGTTGCATCATTCATGTCTCTTTCCTACTAAAATTCACTATTTTTATCACGTGTTTCCCAAAAAAAAACTATACAACAATAAGCTATACACCCCATTACATTATCAAATTCCATACCTCACCTTCCTCCGGCCAAATGATCGGGGCACACGCTAGTACATATTTATAGGCATAGAACATCTCATTTCTCCTACCTAAAACATGAATACTTCTCCCACAAAGAAATAATAATCAAATACTAAACAAGTACTAAAAAGCAATCACAATCCTACTAAGACAATTAAACAATATAATATCCCAAATAATACGAAATACGAACTAATTAATAAAACTACTAAAATAGAAAGATACGCAAGCCCATAACGAGTCTCAATTATTACGATAGCTTGATTCTCGTAATATTTTCTTTGTTGAGTTTGTTTAACGAATTTGGGATTTTAATTTTAAGTTTAATAGATTGATTTCAAGTCTATTGTTTCTTTACGAGTGTCAAATTTATAGGGTTCATGAATTTGGACTTTTATATTAAAATTCATAACCCGTTGACTTGTAATATCACATGTTACGTTGAGATTTGGTTGAAAAGTTTTTTTTATAAGGATAATATATATTACTTTTTTTGATTAGGTACTATTAAAAGAATTCGGAATTGAGACCTTCATGTTTAAAGTTAGTGGTATTATCACTAGACCAATTCTTTGTTCGTAAATTCTTGACGATCTTGATCTATAATCAAAATTATATAATTGAATCTACAATATACTTAATAAACTTTTCAAATTCATAATGTAATAAATTCATCATAATTTGTAATTTTTCTATTATTATGTCAAAGGTTTATCATAGTCATTGGTCATATGAAAGTTGAATGACAACAACTTTAAGGGTCGTGTATAGACTGGCCAATATTAACTCATCTCCAAAAGTCTCCTTTTTCATTAGGGAGGGTATGGGGAATAGCATATTCCAAGACTACAATATTGTTTTGATTCCTGGTCAGTTGGGCTCATTTGTAAGATGGCTTTGCCAAGGGCGGCTCAACCAAATACTAGAGTATGACACTTCACCAAAAATGACAAGTATTCAGTCAAATCAGGATACCATTTGGTATTAGAAAGTATTTTAGCCCCGACTAGGAAGTTGTTGACTCTGATTATTGATCTACCGGTGTGGAATTTGACGTGGGCTATCCAGGTTCCTCCAAAACTTAGATTCTTCATCTGACTATGTCTTAAAGTGGTTCTTCCAACAACAGTAGCGCTCAGATCTTGTGAAGTTAGTGTTAGAAGTTAGGAGTACCTAACTGTAATTAACCCATCTAGGGTTAAGGGCTCGGCTAAGTATATATATGTTGTATAGCCGAGTTTAGCTGTAACTGAGACGTACGTAATAAATCGTGAACTCTGCCTTGGGCCGTGGACTAGTCTCAATGATCATCGTTGGGAAAACCACGCAAATCTTGCATCTCGTGTTCTTGTGATTCTTTGTGTGATCGTATTCTTGTAGTGGTATCAGAGCCTCGCGCTATTATTCTCTGAGCTCCTATTGTGTTCGTGTTTGGGTTGCTTCCTGCTAGGGCTGGCAATTTGGACCGGGACCGGATTGAAAACCGGAAACCAGACCGTTTTAAGACCGGGACCGGATTTAAAACAATCCAATCCAGTCTTTGGTCTTAGAATTAGCAAAAAACCCGGATCAATCCAGTCCGGGTCAAAACCGTGTAAAAACCGGAAGACCGGATGAGTAAAAACAGACCAAACCAGAAAAAATTCGGACCAAAGGCAAAGCCCATAAGGGCACAAACAGCCCACTCCCGGCGGCTCATAGAAGCCCGTTTAGAACTTTTGAGTTGTGGCCTGTAGGGTTGGCAGCGCCTCTCGTCCTCTGACTCTCTCCATTCCATCTTGTTCTTGGCATCGCAGGCAGCGCAGTCAACAGAGAGTCAGAGACGCACCGGCAGACAGACGCCATTTTTCTTCTTCCATCCCAACCGAACAAAGAGCAGACTGGCCCGCCGCCCTCAGTCACGCAGACCGACCCGCCGCCCTCAGCTCGCCGCCCGCAGCTCGCCTCCGCGCCGACCCACCTGCTCCGACCACCTCCGCTTCGACCCAGCGACGACGGCGACGGCATCGGCTTCCACCCAGGCAGCGACGACACGGCGCCGGCTCAGCTCCGACCATCAGACGCGACTATTGGGGAATTGGGAACAGGCGAACAGCTGCCGAACTCAACAAAATGGAAGGGAGCAGCAGCTGGGTAAGTGCCAGGGTTGCTGGGTAATTATTTTTATTTTATTTTAATGCCCTCCATCATATATCAATCTATTCTTTCACTTTCACTTTTGCCAACAGAAACAATAACCATTATTTCCTTATAGTCTAAAAGGATTGCTGCATTTGAATGGTGGAATGTGATATACCAGGGTTGATGAGTTTATTATCGATTGGTTTTTGTTTGTTCTACCATTAGATTGAATTGGATTGAATTGGACTTTGAGTTTGTAATAGACTTGAATGATGGTTGTGATTTTGTATTGGACTATGTTTGGCTTGATTTTTGCTACAAACAGGTTGTCTACATTCCAGGAAAATGGGTATATGTTGCTGAATTTTTTGCAACATGGTCAAAACAGGTCAAAACCGAACTGTACCCAATCCAAGTTTTGATCCCAATATTTCCAAAAAGACCGGACTGGACCGGATCAATTCGGGCCAATTTAACCGGACCGGACCGTATTGCCACCCCTACTTCCTGCGTTCTCTCTTCGTGCCCTAGCTCTCGTGCCGCTTCGGAAGTTCGGTCTTCTTCTTGGGATCTTGTTCGTGTGCTGTTGTGGGTTTTTTGTCGTCGACTTCGTCTGCCACCAGGTTAATTTTGTCACTGTGGGCTTTTGGTCTTCATCAGGTTATTTTGTCTCTGTGTGGGATTTTGGTCTTCCATTCTTTTTGGTTATTGCGGCCGGCTGGGATTAGTTATTGTTTTTGCTCTTCCATTCCTTTTGGTTATTGCAGCCGGCTGGAATTAGTTATTGCGAATTTGCGATCACGACCAGCTTGTTATTGCGGCAGGGTTTCATTTTAGTTCCGTGTTCAGCTTGCTTCTGGATTTCCTTCGTGATCAGCCATGGATGCTCCTCGCAATGATGCCTTCTCTGTCCGTTTTACTGGTAAATTTTTTGCCCTTTGGGCTTTTCAGTTCCGCCTATATGTTCAAGGGAGGCGCCTGCTACCCTTTCTTGAAGGTTCGACCAAGCCGCCAACAGTGGATGCATCCACCAAGTCTCAGGAGGATTGGGATGTCTCCAATGCGGTTGTGATGTGCATTGCTCGGATCTATGGATCCGGGTATCGCCTTGAGCTTGCGAGGTTTTAATATGGCATCTGAGATATGACAGCACCTCAGTAATATTTAGATTTAATTCACCCGCGTAGCCATAACTTTCACGATTTTGACAAATATAGCCACTTTTTGAATAATACACAGATGTAGCCACACTTTTCAAACATTGTGAACTAATCTAGCCATTTTACTTAAAACATTTGACGGTGTTAAAGTCTCCGTCAGTTAAGTGGACGTTTTGCTGATATGTCCGCCAAATGGATGACACGTCATCGCCAACCGGATGGAGTTAGCCACGTGGACGCCACATCGGGAAAAAATTTATTTTCTTATAAAAAAAATAATTTTTTTATTTAACTCTCTCTCTCCCCTTCATCGTCATCGTTTTTATCCCCTTCCTCTCTTATTTTCTAGGGTTCATAGAGCAGAGACTGATTTTCAATCCCTTCTTCTCATTTTCAATCCCTTCTTCCTTCCATCTTCAATCCCTTCCGTCGAGACCTCCTCTCTACCCCAACTCCTCACTGCCGTCGACGCCTCCTTCTCAGCATACCCATATCGCCTCCCCTTCACCGTCACTGCTACTGTCCCCTGTTTCTCTCCTGATTCCATTTTCGCCTAAATACACCAATATCCCAGCCGTTCCTTCATCTCCGTTTCCGACAGTTGAATCCATGCCGAATAGGTCTGGAAAGAAGGTGGATTTCAAAGCTTGGATTTCTTCCTCTTCGCTTCATCTCCCTCTCCAAAGCTTGGATTTCTTCCTCTGCTACTATCTCTCTCTTTGATTTTTGATTCCTTATGGAATGGATAATCGATGAGCAACAGATTCAGGGCGTCGTTCCTGGTTCCGATGCCACTGTCGCTGTGGAATCCCTATCGAGGGGAGAACGACCCCTGTCCACCGAAGAAAGCAGGAGAGGATCTGAATCGGTCGTTCATATCCCGCTCGCAACTCCGACTCTGAAAATCATCTTATGGCGGAGACTTTAGAGATTCAGCAATGGCGGAGAGAAACAGATACACGAACTCGTCGATAGCGACATAATGAACAAGGCCTGGCAAAGAAACGATGGCGATTAGGGTTCTTCAATTTCTGGATCTGGAATTTTTCAAAGGGGAAGTTCAATGGCGATTAGGGTTCTTCAATCTCGGTCTGGTATTTTCGCCGACGAGATGTAAGAGGTGAGGGGAGGCCAGATCATGCAAGAGGAGGAGAGAAGAGGAGGAATCGCTGTCAGTCCCCTGTTGCCCACCGTCGTCGCTTTGTACTTCTCACAGATCGACGGACTTTTTCAGCTCCGGACCACCACCGCCACCTCTCTTCTCCTTCTTCTCCGATGGGTCGTTGAGAAATGCATTTTCTTGTTCGTTGGGCTAATGGGAAAGAGCTTGTGGGTGCAGCGACAGAGGATTGGCAATGGCGAGAAGAAGAAGAAGAGGAAGGGAAGTCTTAGCGGCGGAAAAAACATAAATTATAGGGTTTTCAGTTAATTAAAAGAAAAGGATAATTTTTATTGGCATTTTCTTTTATTATTTATTATTTAGTTAATTAAAAAAACATGCCACGTCAATCACTACCGTTAGTCCAGTCAGCATTCGCAGTTAGTTCGTTAAAGTTTTTGACGGAATGGCTATTTTAGTGTATTTTTCAAAAAATGGCTATATTTGTCAAAACCGTAAAAGTTATGGCTATGCGGGTGAATTAAACCTAATATTTATTCCAAGCCGACTGCCTCTCATAAGTTTGATATTGAATGTGATCTTGGTCGCTTGACTCGGGGTGATTCAGATGTGAACACATATTATCAGAATGCTGCCACGCTCTGGACGGAACATGATCACTTGACTAGTTCCGTGTTGTCTAGTGCCGTCTCGGCTGAAGTCATTCGAGAGCGCACTAGCACTCATATCATGCGGTTCTTGATGAACTTACGCCCTGAATTTGAAGGGATTTGGGCTCACTTTTGCACCGTAATGTTAAGTCAATGGATGAGATTCTGGGAGAGTTGCTTCGTGAGGAGACACGCTTGCGTAGCCAGGGAAGCTGGATATTCATGCTAGTGATCATCCCACTACCTATGCTGTTCAGGGAGGGAAACCTCAGTTTCATCGTACTGCAAAGGGTGAAATTATTTGTCATAATTGCAAAGAACCGGGTCATATCCAGTATCACTGCAAGAAGAGGAATGTTTGTAACTACTGTAAGCAGGATGGTCATATGATTGTCGAGTGTCCGGAGAAGAAAAATATGTGCAATTATTGTAAACAAGAGGGCCATGTGATTGCGGATTGTCCTACTCTAGCTCGTCGGGGTCGTGGTCGTGGCAATGGCTCCCGTGGTGGACCTAGTCCTGGGGCAGCCTACGCTACAATGATGGTTGCTGCTGAACCATCTTCTTCTCTCACGTCGGCCGATGTTCAACGTCTTGTCCAGGAGGTGTTGAAGGAAGCTCTTCCTACCACTCTTACTTCGGCTTTTGCTACGGGTACAACTTCTTCTTCTTGGCATGTGGACTCTGCTGCTTATAATCACATGACTAGCTCCCGTCATTCCTTTAGTTCACTTGATACATCAACTCCCTCTCTTAATTTACAAGCTGCAGATGGGTCTCTTATGACAGTTAAGGGTGTAGGACACATAACTCGGCCTCATATTCCACTGCCGAATACTCTATATGTTCCAAAGCTTGTCCCTAGTCTTGTTTCTGTGGGTCAGCTAGCAGATGACGGTTGTCGGGTTACATTTGACCGTTCCGGGTGTCTTGTGCAGGACATGAAGACGGGACAAGAGCTAGGGAGAGGGAGTAAGAGGTCGGACATTTATTTTGGATTCTTACTCTCGGTGAGGAGGCTAGGATGTGAGGAGTCTTGAAGAAAGGAAGGTTGCGGCAGTAGGGAGCTTAGGAGTAGCTCAGCATAATTTGTCGGATTCTAGTAGAGATTTGTTGGTTTTTGCAATTAAATTATCAGATTGGGATTTATGGCATTTTCGTTTGGGTCATCCTCATTCTGCTCGACTTCGTACTATGTTTCAGAATATGGTTATCTGGTACTGTTTTGTATTATCAGATTGATGAGTGTGTTCATTGCTTACAAGCTAAGATGACACAAAATTCCTTTTCTTCAAGCTCTACTGTTTATTCTCAGCCATTTGATCTCGTACATACAGATTTGTGGGGACCCTCACCTGTCACATCCCATTTGTGGTATCGATATTTCGCATTCTTTGTAGATCATACCACACGTTATACATGGGTGTTTTTTCTTCGCCAAAAGTCTGAGTTGTATTCTGTCGCGCAGGACTTTATGGCCATGGTCTCTACACAGTTTAATCGGACAGTTAAGATACTACGTTCATATCAGGGAGGAGAATATACCTCCGGCCCATTACAGAACCTCCTACGTGAACGTGGTATTATCTCTCAACAGTCTTGTACAGGCGTGTCCCAACAAAATGGTTTGGTGGAGAGGAAAAATCGACATGTTCTTGAGCTCACTCGGGCTATATTGTTTCATTCTTTGGTTCCTTCGGATTTCTGGGTTGAAGCTGTCCATACTACTGTTTATTTGATTAATAGACAAATCACTCCTATTCTGCAGCAACAGAGTCCATACCAGGTACTATACTCACGTCTACCCAACTATGGTTGGCTAAGAGTTTTTGGGTGTGTGTGTTACGTTCTTCTCACCTATCGAGAAAGAAATAAACTCATGCCCAAGTCCATCAAGTGTGTTTTTCTTGGTTATTCGGAGACTCAAAAGGGCTACGTTTGCTACGATGTTGCCGCGCGAAGAGTTCGGATTTCATGTAATGTTGTGTTCCTTGAACACATGTTGTATTTCGGCAGCCCCGAGTTTGCCTCCTCTCAACCACCGGATTTGGATTTCTTAAGTTTGCCAGAGCTGCCCACATCACCCGTCGCTGTAACACCCCACCCTAAAACTCATGGGTTGAACCAATGGTTCACCCGCACAACGAAATCTCTATTGGGGTTATGCAAAAACTCAACTGTTTACCACTGATAATATACATACCTACATTAATTTAATCCAAAATCACAACAATCAATTCTCAAATTACTCATCATATACTATACATCAACTCGATCTAGTTCATTTATTTTATGTAAACCAAATCAGAGTGTCATTCACTACTATGCTCAGTACGGTACCATCTACTATGCAATACCCAAATCATCGACTCCTAAAACATAATGAGAGTTATTTCAAAATCTGGAAAAACTTCAAAACCAATCCTCCATCGATCATTGTGCAGTGCCAGAGTTTCTCTCAAATCATTCGAACCTGTAAGAAACTGAACAGAAGTGGGTCAGCAACTAAGCTGTGTGTGTGGATCTTTCCCACGACCTAGTTTTTGGGACCTCAATCAGCTAATAAAACAATCATAATCAATCGTAATTTAGTACTCTAGATGCCATCTTAAATCATCATATATAAATTACTGATCAAATTATCGAATCCACCAACTCATCATCACCAAATCAATTTATCCAAATAAGATAATCACATAATTTCACGAACACATAATCAATGCATGATATGAAAATTCCGGTTAATTATTAATGGCGCCAAGGTCACCATACACTTACCCCCGCTCGAGCAAATCATCATTTGTGGTGCTCATGCAACCACAACACTCAATCCGTGGTTTTTAACCACAACACTCATCTGTGGTTTTTAACCACAACACTCATCCTTGGTGCTCATGCAACCACAACACTAAATCATAAAGCGAGCTAAATCTACCCACTCTCAAGGGGTGAGGGTAAGTGCAAGCCCTTTCTATATCTACGTGAATTAATATGATCACGAATCAAACCATTTCCATTTTTCTCATCCATCACAATCAATCCAGAATCAATGTAGTCTCACGGATTAACCAGTCCATATATATATTTCCCGTCGATTATCAACTCGGCGTTTCCAAAAACAAATCAACTATTTCATCATCCAATACTGAATCACATAGATCATTTCATTCTCCAGTAAAGCTACTCAGCAGTACCATGTCACCATTCCTCATCCAAATTTCATCAACAACTTCACGAAATAGCGCCAGTAAAGCTACCCGGTTGCGGTTAAAAATATCCTTAACTCAAAATTCACTTTCCTTCATTAAAATCCTCACAAAATTCATGTAAATGAATTTATTGACACAAAAATCCATTTAATCTAGTTTTGGTCATAAAAATCAATTTAGACAATAAAATATTAAAAATCTCGTATTAACCATTATTTTATGGTAACTTAAATTCCAACAAAACGGTAAATCCGAAAATCTCCCAAAAATACAAGAACCTCCAATTATCATTCTAAAACAGGTCTTTCCAGTTTTTATATTTTTCAACAGCTCAAAACCTTGAAAATAATATTACACTCGTTCTTTACCGCAAATCTCGTATTAAGCTCATTTTTACCATTTTAAAGATAAAAACTCTACCAACTGTCTAATTTACCCTTTCAAGAGCACATCCCATTTAAAAATCCATACTGGCCATTTTAAAGTGATCCAATCTTAAAGATAAATAAAACACGTTTTTACCAAGCTTTTCGTAAAATTCACTGTTATGCAGTTTTTAATTCGGAAACCATTTTCAAGTGAAATCTTCTGTTTAATCTGCCCCAACGTCATTTTAGAAAAACAAAAATCTCTTAGATCAGTTTTAAACTCAATAAACCCAACTATCCATTTTTACGGTGAAACTTGTCAAATACCGATATTTACACCGTAAAATCCATAACAATCAAGAATAATCACCAGATCATCATATCAACAAATAAGTTATCACCCACAGTAATCCATCCATCCAAATATGTAAATCAAGCATAAATAATTGAAGCAATAATTAAGGTCCTCTTAATCCCCACACACCTTAATTTAGCCGATTCCTAGTCGGGAATTAAGTTCTGAAATTCCAGTAATTGACTTCTAAAAATCCTCCTCATTCCCACGGCCGTGTAGTCGCAAACGGTTTGTCGTTTGGATGTCAAACGAAGAAACTGCGAGCCGATTAAGATTAGTATGGAAAATTACCGAATAATACCTTGTATTTTCGAACTGTCAGACACAGCTCTGGAACTTAAAATCGTACTATTATGCGTACAAACTTTCGAACCTCATTTCTCCCTCGTTTGAGCTCGGAATTCAATTCCGTCGACTCCGTGGTGCTCCTGGCGACGAGCTCTACGCATCAGTATCAATCGTTTTAATTATCATTGCAGTTGATGATGCCGACGCCGAGGTCGGGATTATTTCGATGAAGCTCTGATGCGCTCTAACGAACTCCAAACGTGATTTCAACTCCATCAAAGGGTTTCTGGGCATTCGGTGGCCTACCCCAGACCTTTAAACGCTGTTAGTTCCTTCTGGTTTCCTTTCTCTCTTTCTCTCACTCTTTTCTTTCTTTCCTTCTACTTGCGGATGTCAAAATCGACGAGGAGAAGGGAGCTTTAAACTACCGTACGTTCAGCCTCCCTCTCTCTCACTCCTATCCGCTGCACCAGCATTAAATCCCTGCTGGAAGGCCGCCTTCTAACTTGCAGGTTTGAAGAGAGTGCCTTCCGCCTCCCGAAGCCGGCCGCCGCTTGAAATCCTTAGCTCGCCACGTCCTGGAAGTGTTCGACGAAGTGTCAAGACTACTGGCTCTTTAATTGAAACGACGACGTCAAAGTTTTGGCTGGCTGGTTGTATACAACAGGGACACAACTAACGTTCTTAACCAGAATTAGATTAATTATTGCAAAATAATTACTTTGTTGTCTAGCGGTTAAAATGCCTCTCTTAGCTCTCATTATACCCAGTAGGTTAGTGGTTCAAATCCCGCTATTGATTTTTAATTTCCCTTATATATTTTTCAAATGCATACTCATATCTAATAACCAATTATTATTGTTTTCCCGTAGCATCTACTCTCGTCAACGACGTAAACTTCACGATATGAAGTTTCGGTAAAAAAAATCTGTAGAGGAATTTTATTTTCCCCTTTCAAGTTTATTCTATTTTGTTTAGTCTAGTCGGGATGTTACAGTCACTGCCGATTTTGTTGATCATGATTCTTCTGCATCTTTGTCATCACAAAATCCTTCTACAACCAGCTCCTCCTCGACGGCTTCCTCTGCCAGTTCGCCTTCTTCTCCATCTTCGACAAGCTCCTCCTCGACGAGCTCCTCCGATAGCTCACCTTCTTCTTTGTCTTCCTCTTTCCGTACGAGTCAGCAATCCTCGTCGACAGAATCTCATCCCGTGGATCATGCAGCCCCACCACTACGTCGATCTGACCGCACGACTAAGGGTCAACCGCCTCGTCGTCACTCGGACTTTGTGGCATTTTCGACTCTTGCTATCGTGGTCCCTGCCTTTTACAAACAAGCCAAGGGGCAGGCTGAATGGGATAACGCTATGCAAGTTGATACTGATGCTCTAGAGGCAGCTCACACGTGGGATTTAGTTCCTTGGTCTCCTGAATTCTCGGTAATTGGTTGTCGGTGGGTGTTCACCATCAAAATGAATCCGGATGGTACTATTGAATGATTCAAAGCTCGGTTAGTGGCACAGGGGTTCGGCCAGGAGTATGGTATCGACTATGCAGAGACTTTTGCTCCGGTCGACAAAATGCAAAATGTGCGTAGTCTGTTAGCAGTGGCAGCAATGAAGGGTTGGTCGTTAATTCAGCTGGATGTGAAGAATGTGTTTCTTCATGGTGATCTTAAGGAAGTGATATATATGGAACTACCACCTGGGTACACAAAAGGTGATAGTTCTATGGTGTGTCGGCTTCGTCGTCGTTGTATGGTCTCAAACAAGCTCATCGTGCGTGGTTTGAAAAATTCCATGATACAGTGATTCAGGATGGTTTTGTGCAAAGTGATAGTGACCCATCTCTCTTCCTCTGTACTACAGCTCGTGGCTTGACTGTGCTTTTGATATACGTGGATGATATGGTGGTCAGTGGTGATGATGTGGAGGGAATTCAGGAAGTTACACAGACTTTGCGGTCTGCGTTCAACTTGAAAGAATTGGGTGATCTCTCATACTTTCTAGGGCTTGAGATTCATCGATCTGCTGCTGGTATTCATGTTTGACAGCGAAAGTATGTGGTTGATTTGCTGGAAGAGGCACAGATGGATGAATGCATTCCGTGGAATTTGACTTGGGCTATCCAGGTTCCTCCAAAACTTAGATTCTTCATCTGACTATGTCTTAAAGTGGTTCTTCCAACAACAGTAGCGCTCAGATCTTGTGAAGTTAGTTTTAGAAGTTAGGAGTACCTAACTGTAATTAACCCATCTAGGGTTAAGGGCTCGGCTAAGTATATATATGTTGTATAGCCGAGTTTAGCTGTAACTGAGACATACGTAATAAATCGTGAACTCTGCCTTGTGTCGTGGACTAGTCTCAACGATCATCGTTGGGGAAACCACGTAAATCTTGCGTCTCGTGTTCTTGTGATTCTTTGTGTGATCATATTCTTGACAGTTAATTGTCTTAGACGTTGCCCAGTTTGTTGGCGATCACGAGAAAATATAGAACGATTGTTCTTTCATTGCCCCCTTGCCAATCAATTCTGGTATTTTGTGGGATTAAGTGACATATTGGTTTTGGCCCCTACAACAAATTTTAGTGTATGGTGGCGTCAAGTTATGCTAAGTAAGCAGTCCCAAATCCTTATTCTCAAAATTGTATGCCTATTGTGGAGAATTTGGAAATCAAGAAATAAAGTGGTATTTTAAAATATCCACCCTCATGCCCGTTCTCTTGCTTGCCAATTCTCATCCCAGGTCCATGAAGGTCTCTCCACTTTGTCGCTATCCTCCGCTACCCTTCCTTGTGCCCCTTCGTCTTCTACTCTACTCTGGGAATGCCCTCCTCAATACTTCATGAAGATCAACTTTGATGTTGTTGTCCAAGCTTCTAGTTCCTCGTCGGTTCTAGTGGTTCGTGGCTTCGATGGGCATGTGCTTCTCGCCTTGGGCAGCATCAGGGGATCTCTGACCCGTATCTCGCAGAACTCCTTGTAGCTAGGGAGGTGATTTCTCTTGCAGCTTCCAGAAGGTTATCTCGTGTCATCATTGAAGGCGATGCAGAAGTAGTCATCCGTCAACTCAACCTTGGTGTGGTGGAAGATTCTACATGAGGTCCTCTCCTGCGAGATTGTCTTCTTAGTCTTGAATCTTTCTCTCATTGTATAGAATTTAGGGCGGTACCACAGACTGCCAACTGGGCTACCCATAGAGTGACACGTAAATCCTTGTTGTTGTCTTGGTTAGAGTTAGCTTCTTTTGTCTTGGTTAGAGAGGAATTGTCGGTAGTTGTTCTTTCTAACTTTTGCCTTGATCTTTCTCAGGAAAAAAAGATGAAACAATTTTATTCCCATAAACACTCTAGTAATATAAAGAAAAACTGAAGAATGTGGTAAAATATTTGAAATGAAAAATCATCTGACTCGTATTGATTTCTTCGAGATCCATATTTGACAATATTAGTCGATTTCGAGCTTCCAATGCTTATTTTCCTCAATAAGATCACGTCAACTTTAAGAACCAAAAATTGAGATCATTGAACTTTTGTTCATAATTCACCTCGATTTGTTTTATTATAGATTCAAACTATTCGTAAAAGGAACTTGAATTTCCTATGTGAGGGCGACGAGATAGAGGAGTGGTTGCGGTAGAGGCTCCAAATACGGTCAGTAACCCTGGTTTAAGTGGAGCCAGAAAATCCAGATCTAAGGGAAGAGAATTAAAAGTATTTTTGTTTTGTTTTCTTAATCGACTTTTTTTTTTTGCACAGATCGAACGAGTTCGTTGTGCTCTACAAAATGTGATCCACTTTCAATTTTTGAGAAAAAAAATTATTGCCTCTCGTTACCAACTTCATACCATATGGTATCTTCGTTTATAAGTTGTTTTTGAAAAAATTTGCACAGAATGAACGAGTTCATCATGATCTATTAGATCTACAAATTTCTTGGTGAAAAAAATATATGAGAAAAAAATACCAAAAAATATTACCCAATACCACCCTGGTATGAGGTGGTATATTGTGATACACAATGTTGAAAGTCGTAAATGACAGTTAGTATACTCTTACTATCATGTATTCAATCATCCTACAGTCTTGGTATGTTCATACTATCATGGTAAACTTTTTCATACTATATGGTATGCTCTTATTTAATATCAGTCAATACCATATAGTATATACTGGTAAAAAATGGCTCAATTTTTTTCGTTCCAAAAATATATCAAAATTGATATCATTTGAAGAGCACAATTAATCTAATCTAACTATGTCAAAAAAATTAAATTCTGACTTAAAACGAGTGAGAAATCGTCCGTTAAAATTAAGGGGAAAAAATTAAAGGCTTTCCCGGAACGAGTGAGAAATCATACTTATTTTTAATTTTCATTAAAAATTTGTCAACCATAATCAAACCATGGTTTAGGGCACAAATATCTAAAATACCCTTTCTAATTTCACTTAAATATTTTTTGGTTTTTATAGTTCGCTCCTAATAATTTCAGACTTGTAGAAATAGTTTTAAAAAAGAGTTAATATACAAAACTATTAACAACAACCTTTCTTTGCGTGATCCATTTTTTTCCTTCTGCAGTTTGCTAAACTGTGTGGGTTCTTTGATATCTAAATAGAAGGTGAGTTTCATGCTAGCATTCTTTCTACAAAACTCTCATCAAAACATGAAAGCGTGCAAATAGATTGTTATCTTCTTGAGACTTAGAGGTCTTTTGAAGAATGAGATTCGGAGTATGGTTTCATAGAATTGACATATGTAACAAATTATGTTTTTCTTTATTTTTTGCATCCTTAGGTTTAGGTTGAGAGAGTTTAAATCGTTAAGACTATAGATATAAATTCTATCATAAATGTGGAAATTCTATGATTTCACTTGAGATATTTTTCCACTAATGTCAACAATCACGCCAAACATAAAAAAAAATAATGAATAGTTAGAATATTTAGATTGTTTAAAAATTAAAAATTTAGACTCTATTCTTCAAACTACCCATACACTCACAAAACCTCATGAAAGCAATGTAGCCTCTTGAAAGAAGAACATACAAGAATTACATCACAATAGCACGACAATCTGGATGATCCATGTTCCTCCCGTTACACTCTTTTCACCAGGGAAGCTAACAGATATTGCATATCATTTATTCTTTTCTAACTAGTTTGTCGATACTCATATGCATATAAGATTCGAGTAGTAAATCAAAACCATAATCATATTCGTTCGGTTTCACTTATTCATAGATATCCACGGCGGATGTCTTTTTTATCATTTCATCTAATGTGTTACTATTTATGACTATATTCTCACTATACAACTAAAAATCACAATTATAAGTCACTAATCTTAAGCAAATCAATAAAAACAAAAACAAAAATTCATTGGAATATTATATATGCATTATGCATGCTGAATAATTTGGGAGAGATAATAACAATTTATAGAAAAATATACATATCCATCTATGATCGAGCATAGTAGGAAACTCATGCTCGTCCATTACCTATAATATTCGTGCTTGAATTTTATCCATACTGCCGAACAATTAATTTAGCTCGAATTTTACCCTATCTTATTAGTTGATATTTTCACCAACCCTACATTTTACTATTCACCTTAACCCGTGGATCACACATTGGAAGATCCAAATTCACGTCATAGCTTGTGACACATAAAACTACTGTTGCCTGATCCTTGGCCAAAGTTTGGAGGAAACAAAGATGCTCCCCCATTATACATCCATTCAAAGATGATTTGTGATCTATATAATTCACCAATTTCTTAACACTCTTCCCCGCCAATTATATAGTGCCAAAGATGTATTAGATAACTTAAACTTTTCTAGATTCACTTGCCACTTAATTATACCATGCTTTACATGGAATTATACTCTTACCCAAATATCTGCCAAGAAATTCCAAGTAAATTCAAAATAACAAAATAAAAAAAACCCTTTAATTGGTAGGAGAGTTGCCCCAAAAATTGACAACACCTAGTCAGCAATTGGTGGATTAGAACCTTTAAAAGTGATTTTAGCATATATTCTTATATTCTTAAAAGTGATTTGCAATTATGTTGATAAAATATATGCCCTATGTCCCCTCTTTCCCTTCTTGATATGCAAAAATTCTCATTCACTCTCTTACGTAGCATATAATTCCTTACTTAGCTTCAACCACAAGCAATTAACAACAAGTTTGTTTCTTTATCATCACCCATATATCCATTCATCCCACTCTAAATTGGGTCATTAACCAATTCCTCAAATGATCTCTCCATAACACTATAAATCATACCTTGTCACATACCCTCCAAAAGGGCCAAAAACCCTATACTACAAAAGAAAGAAGCAATGAAATACAGCGAAATATCCCACTTCAGCCACCCTCAACACAAGCTGAGGTACGAGTTCACCGAGTTCCCCTTCAAGTGCGACGGGTGCAAGGAGGCTGGGATCGGTTCGAGGTTCCGGTGCTCGACCTGCGACTTCGACCTCCACCAGCACTGCGCCGTACCATCCCCTTACTCCCTCCACCACCCTTTCTACACCAAGTGCTCCTTCCAGTTCTTCTCCCGCCCTCCGGGGGATGTCCCCCGCTACTGCAACGCCTGCGGGCGCGACGTGGCGGGGTTCCTGTACCACTGCAGGGACTGCGGGTTCGACCTGCACCCCTGCTGTGCCAAGCTCCCCGTTGTCATAGACGATGGGGAGGTCAAGCTGTACCTTTACAGAAAGGTCAGCTCCCCCTGCCACAGGTGTGGCAGAAAAGGGAGGAGCTGGAGTTATCGGTCCACGTGCAAGAAGTACAACTTGCACGTGGCGTGTGTTAAGGACATGTTGGTTGAGAACTGGGCCGATTTGTGTTCAAATGTTAATGAACATCGATATGTTGGATCGAGGAGCGTGAACATTGTGGGTAGTGACAGAGAATGTTATGGTTTCAGTGGAGGTGGTGGCGACGACAGAAGAGGAGGAGGAGGAGGAGGAGGAGGAGGAGGGAGTAGTCGGAGGTTCGGGACGAGGATTCCGACGTTGAAGAACACGGTGAATGTTCAGAGGAAGAGTAAGGGGAAGGTGAAGAAGTGTTGTGAGGTGGCTGGGTTGGGCGTGCAGTTCATTGTTGCGGCTGTGCTTGGTGATCCAACGGCTCTTATTGCTGGCCTTGTTGGGATATTGATATCCAAGGGTTGATGTTACGTTGTTGGTAATGGGGAATATTAGGAAGGGTGTGGTGTTAAGCAAGGTCTGTTGATCAACAGTTTAGTACTGTTGATTGCTTTAATGAATAAATGTAGTTCTTTCAAGAGGAAAGTGCAAATGGCAACTTAAGGATTATGTGGGAAAAGCATATGCAATGTACATATTCGTGTTAATGAATGTTTAATGGTTCTTGAAAGTTATGTCTTGGATGTTGGTGATAATGAATTTTTGAGATGATTCTTGTAGAATTTTGTTTTAATGAAGGATCATTGTCGAGTTTCGATGAGACAAAATCTTGTATTTGAAAGGAAGTGATAAAGAAATTATGGTGAGGATGAGGATTATAGATCCATCATCATATCTTAAATATAAGAGAATTTCAATCTTTGGAATGGATGAATCATTCTTCATTCGAATAAAGTATAAGTGTAATCATGTAGATTAAGTTTTTTCAGTAGAAAGACCAAGTTGATTATTATAAAAATTGCAAAAGAAATGGAATAAATCATTCCGATTGTCAACTTAGAATTTCTTACTCTCTCTTTATTATTTGTCTTTAACAATCTATTGACTCAATCTTATATTTGAACTTGGAATTTTCTTGACAATTTTAAATTGTAGCTCCTTTTTATTGTATTTATAAACATGTAAATTTTTAATTTTTCCTTATAACATTATAAACGAACTTAAATACTGAGATTACACACTATATCTAACTCGAATGTTAATCTTTTTGTAACCATTTATTCTATTGTCAATTTTCTAAATTAATATTCCAGAACTAGTCAGCCAACAAAAGAAAAAAAAAAGATTATCAAAATAAAAAAGCTAAAAAATCATCTTCCTCCCTTGTGTTATTGTTGTAAGTTACAACATCCTAAACTATTGCCTAAAATGAGAATAAACAAAAAGAAAATCGCACAAAATAAACAAATTTTCTTTTTCTTCCTTCTCCCATCTCTATCCAATCAATCTCTCAAAGAAATGATCCCTCCATTCCCTTGATTCAAAATCCAGTAAAAAAAAAATTACAGTGATCTGCCATTTCCATCCAGGAAAACAACAGCAAAGAATTCCCTCTCTTCCGCCATTTCCTTGTCCTTGGAGAACCATTTTCCCTCTCGCAGAGGGAAGATGGCGACAGAAAGAATAAGAAAAAAACCAGGAAGAAGAATGAAAACTCCTTCATCACTACCGCCAAATTCAAAACCAAGCTCGACCCATTACGGCTCGTCGACGGAACCCCAATACCCATATCATGGAATGGCCGCCGCCGCCGCATTTGCCACGTTCCTCTTGCTGAGCTCCATCCCGTCCTTTGCCGCCGGCGCGCCATTTGTGCCGGACGACCGATTCCTAATCGCCTGCGGATCCAAGAGCCAGCTCCAACTCCCCGACGGCCGCACGTTCATGAGCGACGAAGAAGCCAAAGGGTTCCTCAAGAGCGAAGAGAACAATCTCGCCTCCGTTCCTTCCGCCGACGTCCCTTCCTCTGTTTACCTAAACGCGAGGATTTTCACCGCCGAGGCAACCTATAGTTTCACCCTAAAATCCCCCGGATGGCATTGGGTTCGCCTCTATTTCTACCCACTGAAGAACAATAACAAGGATTTGAAAACGGCTAGGTTTACGGTGACGACGGATAAATACGTTCTCCTCCACGATTTCAATCAGGGGAACGAGACCGCCGTTTTCAAAGAGTACCTTCTCCACCTAACAGACCAGATCTTCTCGATCCACTTCAAGCCCACGAAAGATTCCGCAGCTTTTATCAACGGGATTGAAATTGTTTCCGCTCCCGACGAATTGATCGCCGATGAAGGAACTGGGCTTTTCCCGGTGAGCGGATTCCCTGGCTTGACCAATTACGGGTACCAGGTTGTTTACAGGTTGAATATGGGTGGGAGTTTGATTACTCCGAAGAATGATACTTTGGGGAGGACATGGGATAATGATAGGCGTTACCTTAAGGCGGAGGTTTTGGCTCAGAATGTAACAGTCCCTACCTCGGCGATTAACTATGGGAAGACGATTACGCCATTGATAGCGCCGCCTTACGTGTACGCAACTGCCGATAAGATGGCTGATGCGCAAACGAACGAGGCCAATTTCAATATTACCTGGAATTTGGATGCTGACCCTTCGTTTAATTATCTGATCCGGCTTCATTTCTGTGACATTGTGAGCAGGTCTTTGAATTCTCTCTACTTCAATGTGTATATCAATGAGAGAACAGCCATCGCTTCGCTGGATTTGTCTGGGCTTACAGGTCAATTGGCATCTCCATACTTCAAAGATATTGTGGTGAGTTCTGCGTTGATAACTAAAGGGCTTGTAGTTGAGATTGGTCCTACGCATGTGGATACAGGAAGTAAAGATGCTGTTTTGAATGGTTTGGAAGTGCTGAAGATGAGCAATTCTGTTGATAGCTTGGATGGAGAGTTTGGTATTGATGGGCGGCAAGCTATAGCGAATCGCAACACGGTTGCAGCTGTTGGGTTTGCGATGATGTTTGGGGCTTTTGTGGGTCTGGGTGCAATGGTGATGAAGTGGCATAAAAGGCCACAGGATTGGCAGAGAAGGAACAGTTTCTCCTCGTGGTTGCTTCCTCTCCACGCTGGTGATAGTAGTTTCCTCTCCAAGGGCTCATTGGGTTCCCACAAGTCGAACTTCCACTCATCGACATTTGGGTTGGGGCGATTCTTCTCCCTCGCGGAGTTGCAGGAAGCTACCAAGAACTTCGATTCGAGCTTCATAATCGGGGTGGGAGGGTTTGGAAATGTGTATCTTTGTGAGATTGATGAGGGCACCAAAGTTGCTGTGAAGAGAGGGAACCCACAATCCGAGCAAGGGATCAACGAGTTTCAGACAGAGATTCAGATGTTGTCGAAGCTGAGGCATAGGCATTTGGTTTCGTTGATCGGATACTGTGATGAGAACGATGAGATGATCTTGGTTTACGAGTTCATGTCTCAAGGACCCTTTAGAGACCATCTCTATGGCAAGAACTTGCCCCCATTGTCGTGGAAGCAGAGGCTGGAGATCTGCATTGGTTCAGCTCGTGGACTGCATTACCTGCACACAGGGACAGCACAAGGGATCATTCACAGGGATGTCAAGACGACGAACATCTTGCTCGATGATGCATTTGTGGCTAAAGTTGCTGACTTTGGATTGTCGAAAGATGGGCAGATGGGGCAGAACCATGTGAGCACTGCTGTGAAGGGAAGCTTTGGGTACTTGGATCCAGAGTATTTCAGGAGGCAGCAGCTGACTGACAAATCTGATGTGTATTCCTTTGGGGTGGTGTTGCTAGAGGCATTGTGTGCTAGGCCGGCGATTAATCCAGCACTGCCGAGGGAGCAAGTGAATTTGGCTGAGTGGGCTATGCAGTGGAAGAGGAAAGGGTTGTTGGAGAAGATCATCGATCCTCATCTTGCCGGGGCTATCTGCCCCGAATCGATGACCAAATTCGCTGAGGCTGCGGAGAAATGCTTGGCTGAACATGGTGTGGATAGGCCTAGCATGGGAGATGTGTTGTGGAACTTGGAGTATGCATTGCAGCTTCAAGAGCAGTTCTTACAAGGGAAGAATGGAGATGATAATGGGGATAAAGAATCTCCAACAGGAGCACCTGGTGCAGCTCCTGCTGCTGCTACTACTGTTCCTGTTGCTGCCTCACCAGCTTCATTGCCACCTGCTGCTCCCCAGACCTCTGATTCTTCTTCTTCGCGGGACAAGGAGAATCAGAATCGAGGAGGGCCAAGTGAAGTTCCTGCCATTAGTGAACACTCTGGCACTGCCATGTTTGCACAATTCTCTGACCTAAGTGGAAGGTAACCCATATGCCATGAAGATCACCATCACTTGATACATTTGTTGGAGTTGGCATAAGATCTACAAAGAAGATGTAGGATATGTAGAAGGGTTTGGAGGGATCATCCTCAACATATATATGGGAATGGAATAGTACATTGCTTGAGCAGAAAGTTTGCTTTTTTCCCCCTTGTACACTGGTGTTTGTATAGTATGTTTTATCAAGTCCTTACCACCTTCTTCCTCCTCATTTCTTTGGGTGAAATCTTCCTCCTCATCTTTACTGTTTGAATATTCGTATGAAATTTGTAACTGGTGACCTACCCTCATCCTAATTATTGTTGTAAAACCTGGTATGGAAATGGAGGTGATCATAATTACATATACATTCATTCTTCTACTCTTCTTCTCCTAATTCAGAAGAACCTAGGATATGACAGATTTCTAGTCATTTGAATGTAGAACTGGGTCAAATAGAGACAAGCAAATGAAAATGGCAGATGTGGCTTGATTACAAGTCTTATTGAACTCTTTTTTTCTTCTTCTTCTTTTATAATGAAGTCTTATTGAACTCTTACATGTTCTTAAAAACAATCTTAATTTATGATGAATTTTAGGTCTTCTTGTTGTTCATTATAGATCTAAACTATCATGAAAAATTAAATTCCGTTATTCCATATGATTTTGACGAGTATGTTGGCCAAGCAAAAATAAACAAAGTTGAAGCGTTATGTCCCTTTGTTTATCAAGAAGCAAATTAGGCTATCATGGAATCCAATCTTTGCCCTCTTGATTATCAATATTTTTTTTAATGAATTCGATAATCCTGAGAAAAATTATCATAACCAAATAGATCGTTTGAAGACGTGACCACGATCATAGTATCTATTTCATAATCAATAGGTCAAATTATTTATACAATTATACTAAAATATGACCACAATAACATAGTTTAGATGGATCCTTAAATCTATTTCTTCTCATCAAAATAATATTTAAACACCATCTAATTCTCTTTTTCTTTTTTTTTACAAATAAACACCATCTAATTCAATCCCTATGAGTAAAAGAAAAACTAAAATATCAATAGTTGAAACAGTAAAAGAAAATAGAAGGAACAATACAACAATTAGCACACCTTTAGTTTTAGGAAAAAGGTTTTAAGCCTTTCCCATCCCTCCATCGTTCCAGCTCCATACCACCTCCCAAACAACTCCCCCTTCCTTCCTGGCCGCCAATTCCCTCCTTTTTATCCTTCCCCAGTTATGCTCTCTTTGGCTTTGCTTCCAAATTTAGCTCATATAAACACAACAAATCCTCTACAAAAGCAAGTTCCTCTCTCTATCTCTCTACTTCCTCCGCCTTCTCTTCTCATGACATGGAAAGTCCAACCCCAAGAATGACTTTCAACATGGAGTCTTTGAGGAGTAATCTCCCCCATAAGTAAAGCTTCATGGCAATTTCAGAACCCACCTCCTGGAATTCTCCTTCCATTGTTCTTTTCATCTTAAACAATGCTGCAACATGTTCTTTTTGAGTTTGGACTTTGGACAGGAGAGGGTTGTCAATATATTATTCAGGAAGATCAAGGTCATTTGCATGCATCGACCTGGAAAAACCAGAACATCCTGATCTTAAGAAGAAGAAACACTGGGTCTAAAAAAAAAAGAAGAAGAAACACACAGACAGGAAGGAATTCAACTTCCCTTATAACCAATACAGGAGAGTCCCACTTCCCAACATAACCCACATAATTTTTGTATAGAAAGTTGCAGATTTTTGTAGATTTATAATATTCTTTAGCAAAGAAATTTGTTTACATGGCACCATTTTCCAACCGAATAAGGTACCTTGGATTAAGAGATCTCTTGAACCTAATTAGGGAAAACAGAGGTAACCTAGTTTTTACAGTTTGTGAACCAGATAAGGGGGGCAAAAGAGACGAGGAAAAGATAGAAATGTCCTCTCTAAAAGGACCAAAACCATGCCCTGCTAAACAAAAGAATCATCATTTCCCCTAACTGGCACCAAAATTAGCTGTGTGAGAAAAACTAAAGACCCTTTCGCCTATCGCAACTTTTGCTTCTTATTTGTGTCTATATCCCAATGATCAAGCATGACGAGTTCTTCTTCATCATCGCCATCGTCAATTTTGTGAACTTTCTTGTGATTTGCAGCAGTAGCTTCATTGACATCATTTGAAGGAGGATCCGTGCTGATGTCCCTAGAATCTGGAGCTTTTCTTTTATTTCCTGAAGCGCCGATCTCCTCAATATTGATTTTGACCACCACCTCTGCTTCAGCCTCGACAGTCTCTGTTTGTGATGTTTTCGAACTATCTCCATTCCCAGTAGGGGGCTTGTCATCATCATCCTTGGGCTTCGTAGGAACTTGCGTCCATCCATGGAGAACCATTCCGTCTGGCTCGTTCTCCTCATCGAACTCCTCCCTGTGAGAGATCATGAATGCATATTTAGAAAGTGGGTGAATAGTGAAACACATAGAGTGTTTTTTACTAAACAATTATAAGTCACACAAAAAGTTACTCAGAGAAGAAACAAACACCCTTCTTCGATCTAACTTTGCGAAGACATTTATAGCCCAACACTGATCCATCTCACGTGAATCGTAACGGAATTGTTTAAGAAATTGCTTCTATTACCCAATAAAATTTTCCAGATGATGTTTCTCGGGGAAAAGAAATCACTGGAGTTATTTTTATTTTATTGAAGTGATAGCTAAAACAAACCTATGTTTGATATTGATATTGCAAGTGAACTCCTGCTGCAGATCCTCGACGGTTAGCATTGTTCCACTAGTAACTGGAGAAGGCAGACTAGACAGCACCTGACCATGAAATGCACAGAAAGACAATAGGTGGAAAGATCAGAAAAGGAAAAGAAATATCGCTAACTGCATTTCAATCCACAGTTTGATAAGTAACAAGATGTACCTTCTCAAGGTTAGCAGAATAGTTAGCGATCATAGCATCGTCCAGATCATCCCCAACTTCATAAAGAAGGGAAGACCCATGCATGATCAATGGAGAGGTCATGCTAAGCTTGGCTTTAACAATCTTTTCCACAAAATCCCTTAGCTTTGAATGATTGGTGTCGATCTCCAATGTTAATGGTGTCTGGTAGCATTTCACATCAAATTCAAATGTTAGCAAATGTCCAACAATGAGTAGATCGAAATCCATTAATTTATTACTAGAAATACAGAGAGATACTTCGGAGCAAACACAGCAGGACTTGTTTGGCTCGAAAGGCTGCACTGGCATAATAAGCATCTTTTGGGTAACATGTTCGAGACAGTATGACATCCTGCAGCGACATAGCTACATACTTTAGAAATGTTTTAATGACTGTCAAATTGGTAAAAATTCCCAACACCAGAGCCACTACTTAATAGCTGCAGAAGAAGAAACTAACAGGTAAAATAGGTAATACCTGTAACTGTCGAAGTCCTTTTGCAACACCTTGATTGCTTCAATGACAATTAGGCCAGCTACAATTGCATTTGTTGTTGCAACTGCATGCACAATGTTACCAGCAATACCTTTTGCTTCAAAAAGGCTATGCAAAGGGATCCCAAATGAAGCAGCCCGAATATTTGCAGCAGCAGTAACAAATTCAACAGCTAACGGATCATCTTTGTCAAAACAAAGGCTTCCAATCTCCTGCAGAAAAGTTTTGAGGGAACAAATGAGTACCAAGCAATACAAGGGCATCATCCATCTCTTTCATTGAAGAGAACAAATCAGCAAACCTTTTCTCTTTTTCCAAAGAACAACTTCAAAGCCTCGAAAAAAACTCTCGAATTATCCTTAAGGCTCCAGAGATCCTGTGGATTCTTCAGGCCCAAAGATGCCATAGCAGACACCGACAAAGGATCACCAGCTGAGCCAGCTTTATCTGAATTTCCATTTTGCTGCATCAGTTCAGCAGATATAACATCTCTACTGTATATGGGTCTGGGCTTGTTTCGACTTTTCCATGTCTCTTCATTAGATAAAGCTTGTTCAATATTATAACCGAACACGTGGTCATATATTCTCCTCCCATACTGTTCAATGCTTTCATTAGCTTTGCGTTCAAACACATCTTCAGCTTGCTCCGATGAGCCTGTGGAATCACTCGAGCGGACATTTAAATCATTGTCCTGATTTTTGTCACCAAACAACTTTGCAAACAGAAGTTCTTTTGCCCAAACAATACAGTGAACAAACTGCATTTTGAAACGAGGAGCGAGTTAAACACTTGACCAAAACTTCAATTTAGATGCAATTTACAGAAAATCTATTAAGTTATGCCAGCAGCAAAGAAACAGACTCCGCAAGTGTTCATTCAGAAAGAAAGATTTGACTGGCACCAGATGGAACCCGAAATGCACAATTCACTTAACAAATACCTTTGATGGAGTGCTAGTAATTGTGCAAACAGGATATGTCTTGGGAGAAGGTTTGGGATTACATTCGTAGCAATCAGTTCTTCCTTTAACGTGTACTGACACCTGCAACGACAACCAATTACAAGACCTGCGTCATTCGACAGTTATCGAAAACAATACAGATTCTAATCCGTAACAGAACTCTTCTTCAGGGAGGTGAGAAAATCAGACAAAAATGAGAGTAGTAATGATTGGAAACATCAAAGATACAGGCAAGCACAATGAGCACGTTTAAGTGCTTCGCACAATGATCAAATTGCTCTTCGCATAGAGTTTTCAAACAGAAAAACCATCAATTGATGAGAAAACAAGAAGGTAAATACGCAAGCGTGCAGAAAAAAGAGGCCGCTCAACGATAACAAAATTATATAATTGTGGATTCTGTGAAATGAACAAGATAACAAAGCTCACCTGCCCTAGGAAGCCAGTAGTTCCACTCTCCACCAAAGGAACTTCAGCGGCCAGACACAAGCGATTTACATGTCGCCTTGCATCTAAGTTGTCAAGCCCATTCAGTACAACATTGAATTGCTTGAAGAAGTCCACATTGAAGTTAGAATCTTTCACGTTTGCATGGTATGAACTGATGCTAATATGAGGCCTGAATCTCAGTACAGCATCTCTAGCAACCTCCAAGCATTATCGAAAATTATTAGTCAAACCCACAACTGACGAGAAAAATATAACAGACAAGGGCGATGGGCACAAAAGCTTACCTTGGCCTTAGACTGCCCAACATGCTTCTGACGAAACAAAAACTGCCTATTAAGGTTGCTAACTTCAATAGTATCCATGTCGATCTGCAAAGAAAAACGTAAAGTTACATCAGACCAAGTTTGAAAACTAGTTATGCAGCTTAGTCTAATCACCGGAATTAAAAAAACAAATCGTGAGAACACTTGCATCTTAAATCTGGAAAACAAACTTAGTACATCTTTTGGCCAAAGCAGAAGCTGGAAAATAGAAAACTTTGCAAACTCCACAATCTTCTATGAATTAACTGGCACTAAATGAACAAGCTCGTCCATGATCCCAACGGTTCCTATGAATAACAACTGGGAGAAGTTGTTGTCGGGTTGCATGCACCTTCCCCATCTCATGAGAATTGTGATAATTATAAATTGCAAAGTTACTACTCTAAAGGACAAGCAATGAACTGCCAATTATAGCAAACAAATTTCTCTCAAACCCGCAGTCAAAGGTTGCTATTTCTCTCATAAATAGTTAACGTAGCAGCGCTAAACCCTTCAACCCAGAAACAAAAAATCCCCCAGACGAGAGAAACTCCTCGTCAAAAAGACCGTTGGTAATCTAAGAACCAGAATTATAGAAAAGGATGGAAAACTGAAAATCATAACTTGGAATAATCAAGACCCGAGAAGGGGAAAACTGAAACGTTCGGAGCAAATACATACAATATGAATATCCTCGAAGCCGGAGAGGGCAAGGGTCTTGAGAAGCTCGCATCCAATCCCACCTGCTCCAACCATAAGCACTTTGGCGCCCTAAAAAACAAAACCCAGAAGCAAGAACATGAATCAGACGAAACCCTTAACACTGGCCCAGCTCCTAAACTGGGTTTTTGTGGAGTTTGTGTGATTGAGAACTTGAAACGATACCTTGATAGCGGGAGACTGCTGCAGGGACGCCATTGGGAACGGAGTGGAGACCCGGAAGAGAGTGACAGATGGAGTAGACGAAGTAGAGAACGAGAGGGAAAGAGGGGGGAAGAAGTTGCAAGTCTGCTCTAATTGATTCACAGAAGTCGTCTGCAGGCAAAAAAGAAGACGAAGAAAGGGAAGGTTTCAACAAAAAAAAAAGGGGAGGTGAAACGTGAAAGAGTGAGAGTGGTATTGAAGAATCGAACTCGGGACTTAGAGATGAGCAAAACAGCCTATGAGAGTTATTAGCACCAGTTCGACATAAATGAATTTCATAAGTTTTGAAGAATTTATTTGGCAAAATACACTTTCATAGCCAAAACTTTGACGATTGTGATAATAATAACCATTTTTGGCGAAATACCAGATATAGCCAGAATTTTGAATGTTTGATGACAAATATAGCCATTTCCGTTACATTCTTTAACGGCGTCACTCACACCGTTAGTCAAATTAACGGAATGCTTACATGGCTGTCAACTTAACCGACACATCATCACCAACTCAACAACACTTGCCACATGAATACCATGTCATATTTTAATTTAAAAATAAATAAAAAATCACAAATATTTCTCATTCTCTCTCCTCTCCCACCACTCATGTTGTCGACCCCTAATTCCTTCCGCAGCTCGCGACCCCTAATTCCTTCCGCCGACGAGTGAAAAGAACCCTAATTCCTTCACCCCTTTACCTGCAATCTTTACGCCGTGTTTGCCCCTTTCCCATCAATCTTTCCACTGCTCCCATTTCCACTCTTTCGTTGTGGATCGATGATGGTGGACGCGAGAGGTGGCGTGCGGCTTTGATGGCGATGAAGAACGGCGGCAGGAGGGAGGCCTGGCGACGGTGATGGCAACGACGACGCGGCGGCAAGATGTCGTCGACGGACGACGGAGGCAGACGCGTTGCAGAAGGGAGGCCTGACGACGGTGATGGAGGTCTGGCGATAGCAGGGCGGGCTCGTATCGACGATGACGGCGAGTTAGAAGCGCCATTTACGTTTAGCATCTCTCGGATCTGTGGTTTCTGAATCTGCTGGGGCAACATTGACGAGTGGAGGGTAGAGGAGAGGAGCGGCTGCAACTATTCTACTCTGGTTCTTGTAATCAGACGGAAGCAGAATCGCCGCCAATCTCCCCCTTCGTATCCAACCTCTTCCTAACCCTAATCTTCCGGCTCCTTCAGATCTCAACCTCAAAATCCGGTGACCGCTTTCAGATCATCCCTAATCGAAGCCGACTCTGTCTCGTTCCACCCGGAGATGATAATTTCCTCCTAGAAAGAGCAGAGCATGAGCGAGAGGCCCGTTGGGAATTCTAGACAAGCTCTATGACGATTCGAAGGGCAGAGCCGCGTTGGGGGAGCTCTCTGACGGTTCGACTGCTTCTGAAAGGGACGAGAAGGAAGAAGGTGAAGGGACGAGGCAGTGGGACGAAAATCTCGTCCATGGCGAAATCCATTCCCAGCCTAGTCTGGCGGCAATGCCATCGCAGGGAAGAATCGAGATGGCGATGGAGGTGGGGAGAGGGCGGAGAACAGAGGGTAGGTTGGGTGAGAGAAGTTTTTTTTTTTGTTTTATTTATTAGTTTTTATTTTTCATAAATCAAAAGACCCATCCATTTAAAATATTTTAATTTTAATTATTGTTATTTTTTATAAAAAATTAGTAAATCCACGTGGGAAATACGTACAGACAAAAATCGCCAGATCAGACGATTCGTTAGTCCAGTCAGCACGTTAACTCACACCGTCAAAGAATTGGACGGAAGTGCCTATTTTTGGTATTTCTTCAAAAGTGGCTATATTTGGCAAAACAGTCAAAGTTTTGGCTACACAAGTGTATTTTGCCAATTTATTTTGAAATGCAATATTTTTATGTTTGATATTAAAAAGAATTTATTTTCAATTCTAAATTTTGAATTCTACGAAATTGGAACTAGTTATAGCAATTTCGAGGAATTGAGATAGAATTTCCAATGAATTCCACAAATATTTACTAATTATAATAGAATGACATTATTATCCTCTTTTATTAACTAAATTACTTATACATATGACATACTAAACACAGAAATTCATTTGACAATGAATTCTATACGACACTTCAATGATTTAAATATAACATACCAAACATAGGATTTCATTTGACAATGAATTCTACACGGTAATTCATTTTACAATAAAATGAATTCTCGATTCATTTGGTACCAAACGGTCTGTTAGTGAACTAATAACAATTTTCCCGAATTTTCTAGTTTTACCTCACCAGTTGGTCGGACGAATCTTTCGAATTATTCAAAGATAAATGATTTGAGTTTGGTTGTCTTATACCTAACTCGTTGGTCGGACGACCTTTTCAAATCATTCTGAGACAAATGATTCGAGTTTGATTGTCAGAAATTCCATTATTTATGCTAGAAAGCATAGAGGAAATCTAATGAATAGAAGGAGAAGTGCGAAAACAATTACATGTTTTCTTGAAATGTGGATGGTATGAAGATTAACAACACTATGTATTGCAATCATTCAAACCTCCAAGTTTTCTTTTGACGAACTTTGTAATTGGTGTGACAGAAAGCATCTTCAATATTCACTAATTCGCCATCGATAATGTCATCGGTTACTTATGGTGAGGAGCAAATCTATGTTGTCATGGATTGGGAAGAAGAATGAGCATTGGCGACCTATAGTAACAAACATGTTAGCAAGAGTGAAAACATTATGGGTGTGTGTGATTCTAAAGTTCGAGTGAAAATATATAATGAACTCACTATATTATCTAGACAGTGGTCATTGTTGTTGTCGATGTCTTCTCTTTTTCTTCAATGATCCTCAATAAACAAAAATTCCTTGTAGTGTTGGAGTAATCGTAGTCAGTAAACTTGATATGCACATTTGATTCTTTACCTTCAAGCTCCAAAATTCTAGTAGATGATGAGTTGTCTTCGTTTTGATTTTTGTCATAAAACTACTGGGCCAATATGTTTAACAGTTTGGAGGCCACATGATGAGCAATACCAAATCCGTTGCAGCGAAGTCAGTGGTGTAGCCAAGTTCGAGTTTAGTGGGGTCTTGTTTACGAAAAAAAAATATAACATTGTATTCAATTATTAAGTACATTTTCTTAAAAATATTCAGTCAAATAGTCATTCATCAAACCATTAGTTATTAGATTTGTAGCTTACATTTTGTGTAACTCATAATTGAAAAGTGACATTTCAATAACTAGCTAAAATAAATAGTTCCCAGGCACAATCTAATACACACAAACGTTTTATAAAACACATTTGATGACAAAGAAATTGTATATTGATAGGAAAAATTTGTTGAACTAAGAGCTTTTTATGTAGCTGGAGGTTTTTGTACACATATTTAGTAGAATTAGAAAATTTTACAATATGGACTATAAATTTGGGGATTTTCAATGATATATGACCAATATAGTCTAATTTTATTTGTGTGTTTCATAATACTAGGACAATTAAATTCCATATGAATGAGGTCCTGAATTCTAAATCTACTCAAATTAAACAAGTATGTACATACATTTAACGATTTTAATTTATCCAAGTGGGGTCCTAGGACCCCACTCCCTTCCACCTCCCTCCGCCACTGAGCGAAGTTATCGGTCATAGTAATGACAATGCAAAACATGTGTTAACAAGCGGGCATATGGATTACTTTGATGGATTCACATTAGAATGATAGAGTTGAATAATTGGATCAACCTCAGTTTAGCGACATGTAATTTGGTTCGTTTGGTGTGGAGGACACTATATTTGACTCATAGAAACTATAGAAAGTCAAACCATCGCAAATAATATCAACTACACATCCATATTTGTCTTATATATAAGACATATGCATAGTCCTGACAACCAACCGTCAATCTCAAAACTAAAACTAACATAGTTGAATAAACACAAGTTATAGAACATCTAAGCTAATGAGCTGCAACCTCCAACGATGTTGAAAAAGAAAGCATTTTATATGGGACTTCCATGTCCTGACTTGACACGAACTTAACATAGGCGTTTTATATTTGGTGAGGCCGAACAACTTCGTTGTTGCGGTGTACCTCTATGTAATGTAACATCTTAATCATATTGACATATTGAGAAAATTAAAATGAAAGTTGGAGTGAAGGAGGTGAAACAGAAGACCTACATATTCATAAGTGTGACAGCCAATTAATAGCTCTATGCTCAACTAAGAGGAGAACCACATTAAAGCAGTAACTTTCAATCTCAATGTATATGAGGAGCACATATATTTTCTGTTTTTCACACATTGTGGTGAAGTGGTTTTACAATTTCCACAACATGTGCAAAACTTGGACCCGCTAGAGTATGATGCGAACATATTGAGTGCTTGAGGCGAAGATGGGTGCGATTAGTATATGAAATGGTACTCTTCTTCAGTTCAAATTGACTGCCAATCACACACATGTTCATATACCAACCCACAATACCTAAGGGGAAAGTAACTCGATGCCACAACCCGACCGACCCGTGACCCAATTGACCCACAACCCGTCCGACCCATGAACCAATTGACCCAAAACCCAATGAACCGCAACCCTACTAACCAGAACCCGATGAACTCACAACCCGACTAACCCACAACCCTATTGAAATCAGGTCGAACCCGTCCGTCATTTTATAAGATAGATAAAAAAAAATTAATTAAGTATTAAACTGCAATTAAAATTAAAAAAATTTCAAAATTGAACTATCAAAACACCAAATTAGTACTTACGAATATCTATTGAGCTAGCTAACTGTTCAAAAGTTCTGTGATTTTCATATTTTAGCTCATGTATATTTTTAATTTAAAAAGATACAACAAATCTACGGGGGCACTTTGACTTTGTTTGAAGTAGGGATGGCAACAAAACCCGAACCCACGGGTACCCACCCGACCCAACCCTGTCGACGCGGGTAAAATCCGTGTTGACGGGTTTTGGACCGGGTTTGGGTTTAAACCCGTTCACTATTCACCGGGTTGGGTTGGGTTTGGGTTTAGGTAAACCCGACCCATGGGTACCCGCCCACACTCATATAATTAATTTTCTCGGCATATTTAATATTCTAAACAACTAATCTTATTTATGTTTGTGGAGACATGTCTAATTTTCTCTTTCTAGTTATGTAGTATGAAGTTGATGTTATCGAGTGGAGAGTGAAAAACTTAATTGAAAGAAAGAAGCTTTCAATTAATCATATTATTTATGGATAATTTGTGATTTGCTTCAAT